TGTCTTTTTATGAATTGATTTTTATGTAAATGTAATAATAAATATTGTTTACTGGTGCCTGGTGGTGAGGTTTTATTTCTTTTATTTGTATTGAGTAGAGTTTTAAAGAGCTTTCAATATGAGTTGCAGTAAAGAAGTTTTTTTTTTTTATTCCCAATGGATATTACTAACAACCTGGGTATAGAAACTAAATAAAGTAAGAAAAAGTTGAGAAGTAAAGTGAAATGATAAAATAAGTATTTAACAATTCAAGAAAATAAGCAGTGACACGGCACAGGAAATTTGGAAACAAGTATGTTCCAATTACCAGCCCACTATCATATCAATAATATCACCAATATCAGTAAGTTTATTCCAAATAAACTTTATCAATGTTTTTCATTGTAAAATGTTCACAGAAGAAGCTTTACAGCTCTGCAGAAAGTAGACGTAGACGCATTTTGAAATTTCTCAGTGTCCACTCATTACCATTGGAACCATTAAGGGGAAAGAATATTAGTTTAACATAAACTAGCCAGAATTGGGGGCCTTTTTTGGATTTTTTATCTGTCAGAAAAGTAAAAGAAAAAATTTATTTTTCCAAAACCCAAGCAGCACTTCCAGTTCAGACAGATATGGCAATAGCTGATAGTTCCAGCTTTATCCTTAACACGTCTCCACCCATTAAACCTTAATGACCTTGCCTACCCATAAAACTCCACAGTTAAAGTAAAGCTTGTTGATGTCATGATCTCCAGTTGCAGTTTGGTATTTTTTAGTTTTAAAATTTCCTTAATGATAATGTTCTAACAGCTCTTGCATATTTTATTGTTAGGCTCATTTGGGTTTTGTCATCTGAGTTCATTCCTCTGGGCTTAATTTTAAAGGATTGGTGTTTTCAATATCTGTCCATTCTTTTGTGTTTAATAATAACTGATAATAATAATAATAATAATAATAATAATAATAATAATAATAATAATAATAATAATAATAATAATAATAATAATAATAATAATAATAATAGAACTTTATTGATCTCACATTGGAAAAATTTACCTCTGCATTTAACCCATCCCCTTGGGGAGCAGTGAGCTTCCATTGTGGGGCGCCTGGGGAGCAGTCGGGCGTTAAGGGTCTTGCACAGAGAGCAAGGGTGGCAGTCTATGGGAGGAAGCTTGAACTCATAATCTCAGGGTTCCAAGCTCTATGACCTAACCATTAGGCTTCCACTCCCCCTGTTTAAATTTCTCTTTAATTTAAGTATTCTTTTACATTTTTAGTTACTTTAGTTCCATTTAAATACCTCCCTGTGTTTCCATGCAGCTCTATTCTTGTGAGGCAGGCAAGCCTCCTTCACCTACCCTGTATTCACTATGCATCAGATGATCCCCAGTTCATCTTATTAGCTCTTCCATCCCTGCCTCAGTATATTGGTTCACTAGTTCTCATTTTATGCTGAATTATTCTATTTATCTGCCTCATTCTGTGATCTTTTACACTGCATGTTTTCTCCCTGTTGTGCTGTCAGTTCTCTATCAACGTTCCCTTTTTTTCATGTCTGATGTCTGATTTGAAGCTTATTTTAGGTTTTCTGATTAACAAAGTGATCAAATGTTGGGAGAATATGTGGTGAATAATGTTAAATGGGACAAAAATTTTACTATTTGCTTCTCCTTTCAAGATTCCATGTTTAAAGGAGTAATTGGTTGGTGCATCACCCTGAAAACATCTACCGTAAAATCTAGATGTGAGAACACCCTGGTGTGAGACAGCATATGGTACTGACACTCAGTAACCGAACACAGCTATGTAGAGAAATGCTGAAGCATTTTATAGAGGCAATGAGGATGGACATTTCAGCAGGATAATGCATCCAAACACCAAGCAAAGGGAACTCACAAAAGGGTTTCAGAAAAAAAGGCTACGATGTCCAGTCCTTCACACGACCCACTGAGGAAAGAAATCAGAGTAAACAGAGGAGATACCTAATAGCTTTCAAGTTTTTGAGACAGTTTGAGCTTTCACATCTGTGCTATAGATGTGTGTTCTTAATACAGGACTGAATGAATAAACTTCACTTAGCATCAGAGATGGGAAGTAACGGAGTACAAATACTTCGTTACTGTACTCAAGTAGATTTTTCTGATATTTTTACTTTACTTTACTTTACTACTTATTTTTATGGCGACTTTTTACTTCTACTCCTTACATTTTTACACAAATATCTGTACTTTCTACTCCTTACATTTTAAAAAATTGGCTCGTTACTTTAGTTTTGAATCATTTCAATGGAGTTACCATTATTATTTTTCACGTCATCAATACCAAATTCAATCTAAATGGATGGGAATCTACGTTGCATTTGACGCACCACTACAAGATGAATCGACAGATTCGGCGGTATTCATTGGCGGCAAATCATTGCAGCTTGGTGGCGGTGGCGTTAGCATAGTAGCATGGACGACGAGATGATTGAAAATGAACACAACGGAGATCTAGTCCTATTGGCAGACATCCATTTAAAATGTAGGCAACGGCATGAAAAAAGTGGTTTCTACTTTTACTTTTATACTTTAAGTAAATTTACAACCCTGTACTTTGTTACTTTTACTTGAGTAAAGAAGTTTAATCAGTACTTCCACTTTTACCAGAGTATTTTTTAACACAAGTATCTGTACTTTTACTCAAGTACGGAAAGTGAGTACTTTTGCCATCTCTGCTTAGCATGAAGAACACAATTCCTGTTCAGAACCTAAAATGAAATATGGTTGTAATTTCATGTCAAGATCCTCTTTAGAAGTATATTTGCCAAGAGAGACTTTTAGAAACAGAAAAAATAGATTAGAAATTGAAATCTATTTATCTCACAATGGAGAAATTACCACTCTGCGTTTAACCTATCCCCTTGTGGAGCAGTGGGCTGCCATGGTGTGGTGCCCGGGGAGCAGTGTGGGGTTAAGGGTCTTGCTGAGGGACCAAGAGTGGAGGCTGGGGTGAACTGGATACTTGCAACCTTCTCAAAACAAGAGCACTGCTCTAACCACAAGGCCAACACTCCCCCATTTAAAGCTCAATACCTGTTTAATCTTGAGTTCTTTTCAAATAAAAATAAAAAGCAATTTAACATTAGCAAGCTCAGTTCCTCCTGTTACTGTTGCAGATGAGTCAAACCCCTCCTCCACTCTCTACTCACCAGTTCAGAGTCACCACAGTCTGTTCGCAGACTTCTGAAACCAAGACTGGAGGGGAACCACAGAATTAGGCAAATGGACATAGCCTCACTGGCTCATAAGGACCCAGTTGCTCTCCCCTGGTTTCGATCTTTGGTCCGTCTTCTGTTTACATGTCTTCTGTAATAAGACTAAGCAAAGTCATGCTTGTCTTTTCTAAATATCTCTTCTACTTAATAAGGATGTAAGTTTTTGCCGGAACTCCCCAAATTTTCTGTTGGTTACATGCAATCAGTCAACCTTTCTGGTTACTGTTAAAAAAAAAACGCTTTTCCGGGGGAAAACACGGTTTTCCGTGTTTTCCGTTAATTCGAGTGCAGGTAACTTAACTGAGATGGAGTGTTATAAAAAATTCTGGACAACAAAGCTTCGATTCGCCTTTGCATAGGGAGAGGAGCATCAGCAGCACGCATCTGCGAACAGCAACTCTGACCCCCCCTGCATTACCGGCTCTTTTTATTATCTTCATAGGGGAAAATCTTACAGTTTCACACAGACAGTGCGACAGAATGATCACACTCCCTACTTCCTATCTCCAAATATGGAGTCGCTTCCTGCCTTTCTGCTCCACTTTTAATCAGCTTTTTTCTGTGTGTGTGTCGGAGCAAGGTCATTCTCAGACTTCCCATCTGCACCTGTTGTTTTCTGCACTCTGTTCTGTAAATCTGCCCTGATACATATGAACAATAAGTTTTGCTGCAGCTTTAGCTTAGCTCTTTACTTCTTTTAGCTTAAAAAATGTATATATATCTTCATTACACAGACCTGAGAAAAAGATAAGTATTCAAAGTTTGTTTTATAACATTCATACTCATGTAACAGATATACCACAAATTTTTGCAAATGATTACTTTTTACAGTCAAAACTTAACGAAATATAATAACTTTTTTTCCCTTTACCCTTTTCAGTAAATAAAATTTAGATGCCTCTTTTCACTGTATCTCTAAATGTTCTCGGTCTTCTTCATATAAACAGAGATAATTTGCGTGTTGCTCCTGTTAGTTATTACAGGTTTTGGTATGAACACTCTCCTTCAATGATCACAGTGAAACTTGCCAGGAAGGCAAGTTGGTTCCTTTATCCAGTTTCTCATAAAGGTTTGACCTCCCCTTTTTCCTCTCTCACCTTGATGACAATAAATCATGCACTAAACACTTTAAGAGCATGTAACTTCAACATTAAAACTAACTACATCTCACACAAAATTTTGTATAAGAAATTTTGTATAGAGTAATTGTTTTCTGCATAGCTTACTATAGCAGTTGCTCATGTTTACTTAATCTAAATTTGTCTTAGAAAGTATTACCCTGTGCAAACAAGATCATCTTAAAGTGTGCACACTATTGCTGCTTTTTAATATTTTCTCCTAATGTTTTTGTTGTTGGGAAACGTTTTAAAAAGATCTATCATGATCTCAGTTTCCTAAATAAAAAACCTGGTAGTTTGATAGATAGGTTTTTTTAGATCCAATATATTTTATAAGATGGGATTTATTTCCCTCAAACTGACAAAATGCATAATTTAAAGGTTGGATTAATCTTATTCAATATGTGACAGATTAAGCTCGTGCGATTAAAGATGAATTCGTTTTAAAGCTTTTAACTTATGTATTTTTAGGCTGGTTGGCGAAGGAAAATAAAGTAAACGTGATATAAAGCGCATAATCTGATTGGTTATGGGGGGTGAATGACGTCAAACAAAGTATCCCCTCTACTCCATTCTGGTTCCCTCCTCACTTCCTGCAGAAAGCAGCGGTGCGTTGACAACCCTGCTGTTAGTTCGTAAACATGGCGACCGCTGGGGCAACCGGAGACGAGCTGAAGAAAGAGCTCACATGTGCTATTTGTTTGGACTTCTTTAAAGATCCGGTCATTCTAAAGTGCGGACATAATTTCTGTCGTTATTGTATCTGCATGCACTGGGATGAAAATGGCGGAGACTACGGGTATCAGTGTCCTCAGTGCCGGACGGTGAGTTAATGAACGCTAACTGCTGTTTTTTTGTTGTTTTTTTCCACAGCCGCGAGTTTTTTTGTTGTTTTTTTCTCTCTATAAAATGAGTGATACCTGATATATTAGCAAAGTTATGCTTTGGCAAAACCTGCTTCCTCCAAATGGTTTTGACAGTTATTTCGTTTTGTCAGTGTTAAAAAAAATATTTATATATTTTAACCAAACAGCAGGTTAACGGTAGAAATTGGACTAGCCAAATTTCTAGCTACAGTTGTTATGGCAGCTGGCTTTAGTTTACCAGTACAAACTGGAGAGCAGTTAATGGTCTTATAATTATATCTTTTGCTTTATTTGTTTCTAAGGTGTTTAACAAAAGGAGCTTCACTAAAAACTACTTGGTGCAGAACCTAGTGGCCAAACTGGATGACCTCGAGCATCTTGGTTCTTCTTCTCCTCCTTCTAAGTCCGTGAAACCGGAAGGAAAGTGTGACCAACATGGCGAAGAGCTGAAACTCTACTGCCAAACTGATGAGGAGCCCATTTGTGTTGTCTGCAGGGAATCCAGAGCTCACAGGTTTGGGCCCCTTCCTCTCGAAACCTTGAAGCATTTTAACATAATGCGTGCTAAAAAGGGATGTAAAAATGTGATTGTCACGTCTTTTTATTGGCCAAATTTAATTAATAATAAAAAAAATCATCATAGCATAAATTAACATCATAACATTTAATATAATTCACTTTTTCACCTTACTAATTTAATAAATCCACACAGTGTAGAATAAGGTCATAAGTGTGCTGTTCCATTTCCTTCCTTAAAAGGATCAATGCTATAATTTTAAATGGCTTACTTTGGCTTGTAGACATATACAGATGTATTTAATGTATTGTTCAGCATCTTGGTGTTTGACTTATAAAAAATAAGCTTTAATATTTTTTTTTGTTCTTTTAACTCATCTCTTTACCCCTCTACTTCAAGATGCAGAAGAATCCCATAACAGTAGCCTAAAGGGCTGGTTATACTCCTACAGCAGTGTGTAGCTGGGAGCTTGAGGCAGACATTTTTGATTTATGCTCAATATTTAAGTGTGGTCTGCGCTATATGCTGTGGGTCTAGATATGACTGAGACGGTGAGGAAGTGGGGGCGAGTTTGTCCGACAACAGAGGGACATGAGGGCGAGAAAGAGCGGGGAGCCAGGTGGAAAAACTGTCACATGTGCTCCTTGCTCTTCTAGCTGGTCTAACTTCACGAGTTTGTTCACTGTGACACCTAAGCAGACGACCTAGTTTCGAAGTATAAATCAGCCTTAAGGCTACATTGACACTGCAACCTGAAGTGACCCAAATCCGATTTTTTTTCCCCCACATTCGACCTGGATCTGATCTTTTCATGGCAGTCTGAAAAACACAGATCCGATTTTTTTCCAGGCGACTTGGCTATGTGGTCCTGAATATGATCTTTTCAAATGCGACCTGTGTCTGAATGGTCAGGTCACATTCATCCGACCTGAATGCCATAAGTAACCGACATAGGTCACTATTCTGCTTCTTGCAACACAGAAGCGGCAAGAAAAACAAACATCACGGCAGACGATAATGCGGAGAGCAGTATTTTATTTTTATTTTTTTCTACCATCTTGAAAAGATTGAGGTTTTAAGGTTTGGAAAGATCGCTAGATGTGCTCCAGCTTTATTTCCGTAAACACGAAGCCCGTTGGCTTGTGACATCATTGCGTCCTCTGCTGCGCATGCGGGACGCTTAAGCTGTATGAATGCAGTTTAAATAGGTCATATATTTGTCAATGGCAATGCAAAAAAGAAAAATAGGATTTCACAAAAAAATCGGAATTGAGTTTCAAGGCTTGCAGTGTGAATGTAGCCTAAGAGTAAAAGAGGAGGGGGTAAGGAATGTGACTGCAAAAAAATTTGTTTTAAATCCAAGATGGGATTAAGGCTCTGTGATATTGCTGTAAAATATAAGCCTTTCATATCAGTTATTGATAATTATTGCATACTGTTTTGTTTACTTATTTAATAAAAGGACAGGGGCAATGATTAAGTTGTAATGTAATCACTAACATTTATTTAAACATAAACCAGAAAAATAGATCAACCCTTCCACCAAACTTGTTTGCCTGCAAGAGATTGAGAAGCCAAATATTTTCCCCCACCTACATCCTCCTGAACACCATGTGTTTCTTGATCAAAATTCAGGGGAATTATTGAATAGTTTATTGGATATATATCTTTTCACATTGATCAGGTGTTCATTCTGATATATAATTTGATATTTATTGCTTAGCCCTCGATGGGATGTTTTTTAAATAAAGGCTTTAAAAGGAGACAAATAATGATTTCACGTTATTGATCTTGATAGATCAGTTTCTAAATTAATTTTTAATGTTATAAAATACACATTAACTTAGTGGGTTTTCTCTAGTTAAAGGACTCGAAAAGATCTCTAGTTATTCAGTGAGTTGTGGAGGTATTTCTATAAAGGAGCTCTACAGGGAATTGTAAATACCTTGATTAGTAACCATGAGCTTTTGCTTTCCAGGCGCCATCAGGTGGCTCCGGTGCCAGAAGTGGCAAATGATATGAAGGTAAGGTTTAATGTCTTTAGAACTGCAAATCTACCCGCTGATTTGGTAGATGGGTCAGTTTGTGGCAGTGTTTATGATTACTTATTGCTGTATTTGAATTTTAATCTGCAATATCTAATCAATGTATTTCCTTTTTTTTTGTTTTTGTGTATTGTGATTTATTCCAGACGGATTTGAAACTGAGGCTGATTGAGCTCAATTGGCAGAAGTCACAGTATGCCAAAATTAGGACAAGAGATGAGCGGACTAAAAATGAAGTGCGGGTATGTGAAGAGTAACTTCATTTTTCTTGGATTGCTTCTTTTAACCATCTACCAGTTACTGACAACAGTTGGTCCAGTCTTTGCTTTGACCTGTGAGGTTTTTTAGATTGTTCCTTTCTTGTACAGCGGCCCTTTTTTTTAAGTCACTAAACAGCATCCCAGTAAGATCACAGTCTGGGCTTAAACATCCTGCAGGTGCCTCAATTTAAGCTTGATCAAAGCTACATTAATTTTTAGCCACTCCATCTTTGAATTGGGTTGTTGCCATGTTGGCTAGTGTAGTTATGCTTTAGGTGTTCTTTCTGACAGATGGTCAGGCCCTGCTGCAACAAAGCATCCACAAACCGACTTACCTCAGTTTGCATGTGTGTTTTTTTTCTGGAATCATGTATTTGGTTAAATAACAAACATTACTTAAAGTTAGCGTATTCCTTTCTCGGTTGTGGAATATGTAAGAACATTTCAAGGTCTGCTGTGGTCTGTCTAGTCTCTTTGTGACTTTTTATCATCCTTTCTATTAATATTTAAACATTTTTCCTTTAGTTGAACAAGCAGCAACTCAAGGAGAAGATTGAAGCTGATGTCGGGGCCTTGGTCCAGTTTCTATTGGATGAGAAAGACTCCCTTCTGGATAGCTTGGATGCAGAGGAAGCAGCCACGTTGGCCGTTATTGATGACAACCTGGATTTGGTTGAGAGCGAAGCAGCAGATGTGGACAAACTGATAGCCGACATTCACAATCACATTGGTGGAAAGACCAACTTTGAGGTCAGCTAAACATGGAGTCATAATTAGATTCTGAATAGACACAGCTAACTTTTTTTCAACAGTAAATTAATGATAAAAATGCACTGTAACAATTAATGTCACTTTTTTTTTATCCCAACAGAGCCTTGCCAAGACATTTAATGAGTAAGTACCTATGCTTTAAGATTTTGATCAACATAAAGAAGAAAATGATGCTAACATTCTTATCTCCTCTCCAGAGTGATGCATCACAAGTCTTTCACGTCCCTTGAGCCCGTTGATTGTATGACTGAATTTACAGACTTCTCAGGGCCTTTACAACTCATCATGTGGAAGAAGATGATGCATGTGCTGCACACCAGTAAGTTTATGCAAAAAAATAATGGTGTCGTAGGAATTATGCAGATGAAGTTAAGCTTTAAAGTGACAAATTGCCATTGCAACTACACAGGATATGTTGGGCTTAGAAAAATTATAGTTTTAGTAAAAGTGTTCTTTCTGTTTTTAGAAGCAGCTCCACCAATTGATGTGGCTGATCAATCATTAGTTTTCTCTTTGCATGTTTAAAAATGTAAGCCCAATTATAGGGCTGGACAATAATTCAGTATAAATATATATAATCACTTAGGTGTACGTTATGACGATATTCCTTTTAAACACTTTTCTGGTATTCTGTTATACAGTATAGTTACAGCGAGTGTCACTGACTGACTGACACGTTGGCTCCATCACTGATGTGTGCCTCAGCCTTCAGCTGTTAGCAGAGTTCAGCGGTTAGCTAAGCTTCAATGCAGTAAGTTTTAGCTACAAAATAAGACGTCCAAGGCTACGTTCACACCGCAGCCTGAAGTGACCCAAATCCGATTTTTTTATGTTTTTTGAACACATGCGACTTGGATCTGATCTTTTCATGGCTGTCTGAACAACACATATCCATTTTATTTATTTATTTTTTCCCCCAGTCCAACCCAGGCCACTCGGCTATGTGGTCCTGAATCCGATACAAATCTGATCTTTTCAAATGTGACCTCTGTCTGAGCGGCGAGGTCGCATTCATCCGACCTGAGCGCCATTAATACCCGACAAAGGTTACTATTCTGCTTCTTGTTACACAGAGGCGGCAGAAAAAAACACACACATCATGGCAGACGATGATGCGGAGAGCAATATTTTTTTTAACCATCTTGAAAAGATAGAGGTTTTAAGGTTTGGGAAGGTCTTTGGGAAGGGTCGTTCCAGCGCTACCATCCATGTTTACTTCCGTAAACATGGAGCACGCTGGCTTGTGACGTCATTGCGTACTCTACTGTGCATGCGGTACACTTAATCTGAATGAATGCAGTTCACACAGGAGATCACATACAAGTCTCAAATGTTTGAAAATGAAAACGGTAATGCAAAAAAATCGGATTTCACAAAAAAATCAGAATTGAGCATCAAGGCCTGCAGTGTGAACGTAGCCCAAATGCCCCTGGTTTGGAAGGCCTGTACACACCCCCCAATTGTCTCTGATCTTAGTGGTTAATAAATAAGAAACATGTTGTGGGCAGACCATGTAGTTTATGTGATGCTGGTAAACAACAGCTCTATGTGCAGCATTTTAAATAAAAGAGGATGTACAGTAAAGAGCAGAGCGGGGGCTCTGCAAGAGCTCTGACCACTGACAGGGAGCCGTGCTATGATAGTATGGGGTGTGTGAATTGATTAATTTAACTTTGAACAAGCTAATCTTCGAGGTGATACAGTTTTGGTTCACACTATGAAGCTTTTCTGGTGTAGCTGGATTCTGTTTTGTTTTACTAAAGATGAGAATTGTAGAAATAAACCAAAGGTTTAAAAAATCCATTTAAAATACTAGCTCCAGCATCAGCAGGTCATAGTCATTCCAAAAAGGTTAATAAACAACCTTCTAATACTCACGCACTATTCCGAGGATATCCATCCCCCATCACCATGCAGGGGACCAAAACATGTCGCCTGGTCAGCCAGGCCAACAACAACCTCAACGACTCCCCATTGCTAAAGGGGTGGACCTGTTCTTCCGGTTCAATTTGCATGTTTTCTAAGACATAACTAGGCTTTATGTGGCCATTCTTAAAAGCTTGGAACTCACTGCTAATCCAGATATTTGAATTGAAAAAGCTTCCTGGATGGGAAGTGAAATGTCTTTAAACTTGGAAAACAAAGTCTAGTTGACTGTTTTTGAACTTTTTTGAAGCATAAAAAATGGCTCGTCTAAAGTTAGAAGTTTTAGATTGACTCCTGACCTTTAGTTTGTATTTTCAGAGCTAGTTATGAGTTATTTTGCCTATTTATTATATTGATATGTAAACATAGTATTTCGTCATAGGTGACTTGTAAAATATGATGATTAACCATGAATAAAATAACAGAAAATGAAAGATAAAACAACCACTTGACTGAGTAATATGAGGAGGGAGAGATCTTTACCTGGTTAAATGCTTATTTCATCTCCACATGGATATCGTTACATTTTTGGTTTTATTTATTTTAAATCTAAAATTTTAATTGAGGAGTTTTATAGACTTGGAAGAGTAAAATAAACAGTTTTTAAGAATTTTATTCAGGCATTTATTGCGGCCTATTTTGGCATATTTTTGAGGCTTTCATATAGTTTATAGCGACTGCATCAACCAAAATTACGAATCATATTATGATATATGTTGTGCCTGTATTGTCCAGCCCTACCCTAATTGATTTTATACTTTTAATATTTTCATTACATGCCCTGCATGTGGATCTTTCATCAAAAACTGTTTTCGTTTGATCACTTGGCGGATAACCTTTTGCATCCCATCCTATTGTTTACAAAAAAGAACAAAACTTCTCAGTCTCAGTCCTACAATTCATCATTCTTCTGTCTCTATGTTAATTTAATTTTTTATTTTTTTTTGTCTGCATAGTGCCTCAGAACCTGACACTAGACCCTGACACCGCTCATGCAAACCTGCTTATCTCGGACTTTGACACCAAAGTGGAGGAGGGCCGCATTCGCAGCCATGAGCCGGATCTTCCTGGCCGCTTTAACCGCTTCTGCGGTGTCCTCGCCACAGCCCAGTATGCAAGTGGCCAGCACTACTGGGAAGTGGATGTCAGGGACAAAGGAGTGTGGTACCTTGGGGTTACGACCGAGTGCAGCAACAGAAAGGGCTTCGTTAACCTTACTCCTTCTGCAGGATACTGGACCCTTTGTCTGCAGGACCGTCTGTACGCCATAGTGGAAGATGGCCGAATCCCACTATCTGACTACTGGAACTCGCCTCGCGTCGGTGTTTATCTGGACTATGACAATGGGCGCCTCAGTTTTTACGATGCCGTTACAATGAAGAGACTTTACATGTTCGACACCTGGTTCCGGGAGCCTGTCTATCCTTTCTTCAGCCCGGGGAAGAACGATGTAGGCAGCAGGCTGCAGATATGCCACTATTATTAACAGAGCAGCTGTCCAGGGTCCAACCTGCACCTTCAGGTGAACCTGTCAGAAAGCATCCTATTTTCCTACAGACGGGTGAAAATGTTGCTTCTGGGAGCTGCTTATTTTGTGCAAATGGGAGATCACTAGCAGGTCCTGCATTTTAGTGATGCAGTTCAGCTTAAACAGGGAAATAATCACATCCTGGACTCTCTCATCCCCCTAAAAAGATAAATTGTACACAAACTGTACAAACCCACCCCTCATAACCACAGTGGGGGTTTGGAGAGTGGCTTGGCTTTGACTTCAAGTTTCTATGTCTAGGACTGATGGGTGATAAGATTTTATTGAAATGGCTTTGTTAAATACATTTTAAAACGGCCTTCATTATTCCTTCCATCTGTGCCAGTCCTGCTTTGTAAATTAGAGACCAATCTGTGCAGCAGAACTTTGCAATATTGAAAGCGTTTTGCATTGAGGTTTACCTAAAAATTCAAAATGGTTAATTCTTAACCAACAGGACTAAATATTTAGCTGTTGTCCTACTTGGTGGCTAAATATGTTTCTTTTTGCATTCCATTAAAAACAATTTTTAAGAGCAAGAGCTTGATATGATGGAAGTGTTGAATGTTGGTATTGCATCTTTTTGCTTTTTTATTTTATTTTTTATTGATTACTGTTCTTTATGAATGATAAATGTATCTTATTGTCATTTACTGAAATTTTGACTTTATTTAGGGCTGATTTTTTTATGTTAAGAATATTTTTCTTTTTTTTGCTTCTTTGTTAATATGTGTTCTTAAATGGCTGTTGAAACAGAAATATGTTGACTTTTTTTTTTTTTAAAGGATATTATTAACTTAGTCTTGAAGAAACTGTTCTTTATGATTTGGACTTATTTTTTTTTAAGACCTTTTTATTATTCTGTGTTTTGTCCGTGGCTGTTTACCTTAATGGATTTATTTACCCAGTCTTGTTCATTTTAGTTACATTTTAAACTAAGTATTCTTCTCAGATGTGTCACAAAGTGACTTACTTTCAGGCTGTTGCCCTCTGTATGAAGATTCATTATTTTTCATTTCAATAAAATGAACAGGAAAAAGCTTTGTTTTAAATTGCCATTTATTTACCCTTTTCAATTTCTTCTAAACTTGTATGCTTTGCTAAAATAAATCCAGTTTGGGTAAATCAACTTCTCGAGCCCATTTTCTTTTCTGGCTGTGTAGGATTACATCTTTTTAACATATTTTCACAGTTTCATTTTTAATTGAAGCTAACATTATAATCATCAGGCTGCCTACACGCATGTGTGCTTTTTACAACATTTATTTATAGCTGTATGACAAACAATTTCACTTAAATTTTTTTTTTCATCATCCTTGTATTTCTAGTCAAGCCCTGCCCCCCCTCTTTTAAATAACAGACCAATCTGATGATGCTGATTCACTTTTGTCACCCAGAACATTTAAGGAGGAGGTGAGAAAACTGTTTCATCTCTTGCAAGGCTAATGACTCACAGGTGACTTTTTGCTGCTTCTCTGTTTAGATTGTTGGCTTATTGCAGAACAAATGAACAAACCTGATAAAGATGCATCAATGTGAACCAGTTTCTTTCAAACAGGACTGTCAGAATAAGAGCACACTAGACAATCTTCAGTACTTAAATGCCTGCAGTTTTCCCCAACTGGATTAAACAGGCATTGAACTTACTTAAAGCAGATTTAAGCTGAGCTAGATTGTTAATTTAAATATGCACAATCGCTAATCGCTGGCTATTATTTATTTTTCACTATTCATTAAAAAAAAAATCTCAAAATTCAATATGCCGAAAGCAAACAAAATGCACATAAAATAACATGTTTAAATAAAACCCAGATTAGATAGCAGCTGAAGCTTTTTTCGTTTATTATCACAATCATTTTCCAGGATTACAAGTCTTGTCATTTCATTTTGTAAGTTTGACCTCCTGTAGTATACAGGCCTACACATATTTGGTAGATGTAGCATTTTTTTTTTTTATTTAAATGTGCTTTAGTTATTTCACACAAACAAGTAAATGACAAAGGCAAAGACACTGAAAGAAATATACTAATGGAGGAGTTTCATTTGGGGAGAAAAAAAATCATTTTGTCAGTACACAAAGCTTTCCTACAAATGGAAAACGCCAAAAGAAAGACAGTTTAACAGTGTTTTTAAATACAGATATAAAAAATGGGTTCATTTAGGAGCCACACATGAAAACAAATACTCTAAATGATCCACAATGAAAGTGCTGGTCATCAGTAATATAAAGTGACTGTAATATACAATACACTCTTTGATTATGTTATATGAAATATACATAGAGTTACATGTTATTCTTGTAAAATGATAAAACTTTTATATTTGTAGTCTGTGCAATGTTCAAAAGCAAGTCAAACAAAATGTTCAGGCTGAAGGAGACAATAATAAACATAAGCTCTTCCAGGAAGTAATAGAGATCAGATATGAGATGCTACAAATCAAAGAGTAAAGGTCCAACGCAACAGTTAGAAAAATAGTTTGTACAACAAATAATATAGAAAAGAAAATCCAAAATAAATAAAATCATCTGGAAAAATAAAATACAGCAAATATGTTTACAACTTTATTTCACTTAAGTTTCAGTCATTCAGCTGGCTACTGCTTGGCATGATCTCAGTTTTCATCTAAATGCTGGAATAAGTAGGATATATAGCAATATACTGTGGACAATAAATCCATATGTACACCTACTTTATGCATATGTACAATTACAGTCATTTCTTGATATTAACAGACAAAAGTGCAAAAAGCCATGGGGTCTAATTTTGGAAATCTGTTTTGGTTATTATGACATTAAGACCAGAAACAGAAAAAAATGACCTGTAGAAGTGGACTTGGTTGAGATGTTGTGCTTCTTTAATCAAACCACCTTGCATAAAGGCCAAATGATCTGTCTTGTCAGATAAAGTGCAGAATGACGAATGGACCAATAACTACGCATTCCTATATGTTCTGTTTTGCCTACATACAACAACAAAAAAATGGATGGCATTAACAGCAGGTTTTGTTTTTTTGGCACACAGTAACAAAATTGGTTTTTATCTTGATTATGAGCACTAAATATCCTACCTGCAACAGAGAACTATTTTTGATTCATGATTAAGCATAAACCCAGATTAGTTTGTCCCACAGGCCGAAGCTAAAACATCATAGTACTTTATACAAACACTGTGTTATACCAGCATTTTGGGGGTAAATATCAAGCAGGATCAAAATCTTTTACACAGGAGATGGAACTTGGAAGTTGCTCTCCACCAGATATCTTCCTGTGTGAAAAAACTGACTAAAAAGAGAACATGTGAACCATTCTGTGTCAGATACTCAACAGATAGGTACACCTTTCTTAAACTTATTCTGTATATTTTGCCTTTGGATATAATTTTGATGAATGTAGAACAGGATATGTAAAACGAAAAACTTTGGGAATGCATAAAGTAGTATTACATAGGTGAACACAAACCTATTGATAAAAAAAAGTATCTTTGAGTTGAGCTAACACTCTACCATCAACTGGGAGGATTTTAGCAAATGATAGCCTAAACAGGGAAAATGATAGCAAATGATACAATTGATTATTATATTAGCTTGGTGATTCCTAACAACTAAACTAAAAAGGAAAAAAGAAAACAAACTTGTTTGAGTTCACCTTCAGCTTTGACACGCATCAAAACCAAGCAGAGGAACAGACTGGATGTAAAGAACAGTCTGGTATCAGCTGTTTTCCAACATATGAGCTCATCATAGCAAGCAAGGGTGTCATGAATATTAGTGGCTGTGCACTCGTGGTTGGACTCTGTCCAAACAATTTCAGCAAGGGCGGCGCAACATAATTAGGTACTTTATTTTAATTTGGAGAATTTCAATTTTATTAGGAGAAACGCAGCATACCCGATAAGCTCTGCACAAGTTCAGGTTTCAAAAATAAATGTATAGCTAAAGATGTTAAGTTATAAAAAAAACTGCATTTGGTAAAAAACGGCTACTTAAATATTGAGCAACAGATAATATCCTCCGATTTGTTATCTAAAAGAAATATTTAATAAAACAAACATAAAATTGTTGGTAAATTCTGGTCTTGTAAAGACCAAAATAGAAAATATGCAACATAATTTATGCGAAAGAAAGCCTAAAGTATCTGAATACTTTTTGAGGGATATCATTTACGTATAATTCCTTTAGCTAGTTTATCATTTGGTAAATTGATAAACCACTTAATAAACTTTAATATATTAAATAATGATCATTTAAATCTAGTTGGCCACGTGACAGCCGTGGTACGACCCACAAATGACTAACCAGACACATGCCCTGTACCGCCTGCTATATCAACTTTCCTTTTAAATCACCTTCTGTCAAACTAGCTGCCCAGTAAAAACTAAAACATGGTGTAAAGTTTGATAAAACAGTGTTTGGATAAACTTTTTAAGGCCATTTGGAGTCGTTTTGAATCACCTTTTATCTTGATTTCTCTGCTTTAGCCTCTGGTACTAAAAACTCTGGGACGTAAATTACAATAACTGAAGAGCTCATGAGAGTTTCTGTAACAGAAGTCAAAACGTACATTTTTTCTTTGAATGAACTGATTGACCTTTGTTACAGTATGTCAGTCTGACAGTATGATGTATAATATGGTCAGAGATAGTGAGTGTTATTATTCTTACTGGGAGAATATGAAATCTAACCCAAAATGTAGGTTTATAACAAGTGTAAAGTCTGACAGGCTGCATACAATTTGGACATACTGATAAGAATCAAACTTTTTTCAATTTTTCTAAAACTAGGAATCCATTTTTTTTTATTATTATATGGTTTGCATTTCCTTTGCCCTAAGCAATGCAGTCTACGAAGAAGGAATACTGTGTTCTGGCCAGAAAGAGCAGGAACGTTGCAGCTAGAAGTGTTATGAAATATTTATTTACCCAAGCAGGATTTTTGATGCCTTTTCATTTGTCTACTGCAGATATCTGTAAACTTTAAAACAGTGATTACCGGAGTCGGCAACTGCCACATGTCCGTCTGAGGTGAGAGCGAGGCCCTGGGGGCCGTAGAGAGGGTCTGCTGAGGTATTAATGTAGGACAGGAACGACCCGGTGCTATCAAAGACCTGAAACACACACACACAAAAAAAAAGGTTTCTGATTATATAATGTCCAATACTACCAATGATTCAATAACTATTAAAAAGCTATAAAATAACATTTGCTTATTTAATGGATTTTGTTCTGTTTTTGTTGTTGCAAATAAACGTTTGGACATATTTTAAAAAATCAGACTATTTTAAGAGAAAAAAAGAATGAACAGAATATAGTTGCCTCCCTTATTAAATCATTACTTGGCTCAGACACTTTTTCTGGTTCAGTTTTAATAGCCACAGTCGCATCTAAAGCTATTAAGCTAAAGCCTACTTTGGCTATGCAACAGGGATATGGCTATGCAAAGCTAAAATAATGAGTTTAGTCAAGGAACAGACTTTCTTCTGACTGTGGTATAGCTTCAGCACAGGCAAATTCATTTTAAAATACCCTTTTTTGTAGCTAAGAATGCAGGTATAATGCTTGGTGGCCAGGCGCGCTGGAAGCTGTTTCAAGCGAGGGGGGCTGATGACTGGGTTGGAAAACACATGACGTCATTATGTTGAGGGCTGTGGCTGACGTTTTTAACATAATATTGTAGGCCTACATTTGTCGCCAAAAACTGCCATTTAAAATGCATCGGAGCAAAGCATGAACATTTTAAACTTTATTTCTTCTCTTTTAATCATTCAAAACAAACAACAGCTCCCAATCAACAGGATCAGGAATAAAACATGGCCTAAATATAGCCTAAACTGAGCATTGAACGTCTTGAAAGTCCATTCGACTATGGATATGGGGAATGATTTCATATCTGAAACAAAAAACACACTCAAAAAAGAAATTAACTAATTACATATTTTATCACTAAATAGCTTAATACAGACATAAAATTTAGTGATATGCAGCCTTATTCTAGCGTAGACTTCTTCAGCCACAGGACTAAGATGAATAGGCACATAAATAACGCTAAATGCGGCAGTATAGGGGAATTAAAACCATTTCTTACCTCGAAATAGTCAGAAATACATTTCTGCTGCCTATTGCTAGCCATGCCTAAACGAATGTGCGGTGGCGGAAGCTTCTGGGGGAGTAGCCTAGTTTTTTATGAAATATTAAAATAATGAATCATTAGTTTATATCTTATACACAGCCCATCATTTTAATCCCATATCAAACATAGTCTTTTAAAAAATAAATACATAAATAATTTCATGTTTTTAAGTACAATATTATGTTACTCCACAGCCTCCCACCATGGGGGGCTGATGCTATGACGAGGGAGGCTGCAGCCCCCGCAGCACCCCCCTTCCCGTGCCACTGTTGGTGGCAGCAGTTTTTGCCAAAAGCTCCTCAACCAGAAGTTAGGTTTAGAAGATACAGTTGGAGCCAGACTGGTTTAAATAGTTTTTGCACAAGTTATTTTTGATATTTCTTTGAAAATCTGAAAGTCAAAGAATACTAATTCTGGGGAAAATAACTATTTTATGTGACAAATTGCAAAAAAAGATCCCATGTTATGAATACCTTTTTTTTAAGGTTTTTTTTTGTCAAAGAGTTGCTATTTTTATAGCACATAATCATGCACAATAAAAAAAAAAAACTTGATTATGTTACCTGTATTCTGCTGTTACCCCAGTCGGCTACAATGATGTTTCCGTTGGTATCTACAGCAACACCAGTGGGCGCGTTGAACTGGCCATTACCTTCACCGTGAGAGCCAAACTTGAACAGGAACTCCCCATCAGCGCTGTACACCTACCACAACAGATAATAAATACCATCACCAGATACACCCACTGAATACCAAGACCAGTAGGGATTGCATCTCTTTTACCTTCACAGAATGATTGTGAAAGTCTGTCACTATGATTTCATTCTTGTTGTTGACTGCAACAAAATGTGGACCTGAACAGAGAGAATCAGAGAACATTGGGAAACATTGGTTCCTTTTCATATATACATATTTTTTGGGCTTGTCAAACATGTTTGATCAGGTTATTGGTCTTTATAGTTAGGTAGAAAAGTTTTCTGAAATTCTTTCCACAAATTTCTCCAAATTTCAAAACATAAAACAATATTATAATCAAGCCTTTAAGAATCAGTTGGTGCATGCTAACCGATGTAGGATTATTATATTTTTTTTTTTCCGGAGCTAATTTTATTTCTTAAACACAGAGGGATTGCTGATCTACCGAGTTCATTAAAAATTATAAATACGGCAGTTTAAAAAGTAATAGGCCATAACAGTTGCACTCTGCTTTTGCTATTTTTGTGAAGTATATATATATTTTTTTGAACAAGTTGTAATATCAGAGAAAATAGGAGTAAATACATGACAGCAGCTTTAAATGCCAATTTTAATTATCCAAAGAAAAGAAAAACTGTTCGAACCAACTTGGCCCCAAACAAGGGTCCTTTTGTTACACGATGAATTTACTGCAATTGACCTTTTTGAGTGTAAATGCACCCATAGATGTTAACTGTGCGACCTGTCGAATGAAGAAAGGTTGCAAAAAGTGATACACTGTAAAAACAATAACTGTTTTGGCAATCTTTTGCTACAAACAACTATCAAGTGCTTTCAGTAAGAACCAACTTTTTAAAATCAGCTTTCTAACTTTTTAACTTAACTTATTTAGTTTTAAACTTAACTTATTTTTATTTATACTTAATTTACATTACATTAATACATTACATTAAAGCTACAGTGTGTAATTTTTAGCGACATCTAACGTCCAGACTGCAGACCGCAGCAACATGAACATCTACCCCCCACCGCTTCTCCCCCCCAACAGTACGGCGAGCGTTACGGGACAAAATGTCTTCCACGATGTCCGCATCACCTACCTTCTCAAGTGATGAGGTTTGTTTACATAGATAATTTTAATACTGCCATCTATTGTTCAGTACCGTCTCAGTTCATCTCTCTCAACTTGCCGTAGTTACTTTCGAGCGTAATGGGCGATCTCGCAATCACTAGTTTGTTGGCTCTGCGCTGCCGTAGCACAAAGATGTCTGCCTCCATGGCTGAGAGACCCGCTCCTATGTAATTATAAATAACGAATTCTAAGGCAACGCAAATATTAAGGTTAAGAGGCTGAGCTCGTAGATGATGATAAATAACATAGTTATGTATAATATATTACATTTCTGACTGTATATCCCTGTAATTATTACACACTGTAGCTTTAATGTATGAAAAACAGTAGGCAACAGCACCGACGACCTATGTATGGGGGCCTTAGTACTCGACGTGGTTGACTCGGGTCGAATCCAGCCTGTGATACTTGGCCGCATTTTTTTCCTCCTCTCTTGTACCACAAGTACCTTAAAAACCTAAACAAAAACTATTACACTAAGAAATGGACCTTGAAGACCCAACAGACCAAATTTAACCTCACTATTTTGCCCTATTTGCTGGACAGTGGTGTTTTTGCTCTTGTGACAGTTTAATGACAATAAAATGTAATCCTATTTTAATCCGAGTTACCAAAAAAATGGTAACTTGGACAATAAAGGGTAAAAACTAGAAGATTATTAAGATAGTTTTGGCTCCAAGTTAAATGCACCTTTGTAGGTTTTCTCTCAATTTTGTACTTGGAAATAGCTTTTAACATCTAGCATTGATACCTGAGGCAAGGCAACGGAAGTAAGTAGTTCTTTAGGTCTTACCTTTAGTTCTTTTGTGTCTCCACTGTGTTCTTGGCATTTCATCATGAGGTCAATCATCTTTTCATAAGAGCCAAGGTTTAATAAATACATTTTAACCCTTTCCAATTAATTTTTTTTTTCATCTGCCTGGTAATTTCTTAAAATTTGGGGGAGATTTGTTGCTTTCTGAGATCTTGTACTTCACTTCACGTTGTGAGACATGTTCTTTGCTACTTGTTTCTTGATTATAAATCAGCAGCAAACTAAAGAAAATGAACAAAAGGAATGTAAATCAGTGAAATCAATGGTTTGAAAATGGGGCCGGATAAAATTGGCTTATGTTTTGATATTTAAATTGTCATTGTAAAGATAACTGTCTGTATTTTCTCAGATTATATTTCTCTAATATTAAAACGTATTTGCTCATTTAAAATATTTCGGGGCCAAAAAAGCAAATACAGAAGAAATCTGTAACATGCCAACTACTTTTATAGTCACACGAAAAACACACGACAACATATTGATTCTGTTACTTTTGACATTGTTCTTGAATTTTGAACAATCTCTGTACAGGCACATCTTCATTCATCTTGTCATCGACAGACTGCCTTCTTTGGAAGTCAGACACGTGCTCAGGGAATTGGGTTAGACAGAGAACACCGTCCGATTAAGGTCGCAGCAAGGCCACACTTAGTACTTACTGAAAACTGAGCCAGATTTATTAAAGTTTGGGCCAAGTTTTTCTGAATCAGAAAACAGAAGGAAGAACAGAAAGAAAGAAAAAGCAGGTCATCAGAAATAAAGATAAACAACAAAGAAAACTCTTAAGGGTAGTAAGCACAGGGGCCTTCTGTTGCTGACTGAGAAAGCAAAACATCTCATAATCTGAGAAATAAAGAAACTTGTGTAAAATGTGTTATTTAGTGTTCTGAATGTGAATAGGATTACAAAATATTAAAAAAGGTAATAATGCATCATCACAAATGGAATGCCAAAAGAGCCAAAATAGGTAAATAAATATTTATAACTAAGTGATGACAATTTGGTAAATAAGATACGTTCTATATAATTGTTGGAACCTTTCCATAAATAATAAGGACATTAAAACATTTTCCCATTTTTTTAAGTTAATGCTAAATTGAAGAAATTATTTTTACAAATAAAAGCACATCTAATGAAACTGTATGGGAATGGGAACTGTATTTTTTATACAATTTTACTTTTGACCACTAGATGGGGGTAAAAAGCTTCCAATAATATTCCTAAAGTATATATATATATATATATATATATATATATATATATATATATATATATATATATATATATATATATATATATATATATATATATATATATATATAATATATATATATAATTAAAAAGTACTTTATTTGTTCCACAGGAAAATTTAATTATGTAGTAAATATTTTTTCTTTTAATGAGTTGCTGAATGTGTTACTGTAGGCAGAAAGGATCTTCTGTAGCTTCTGTCTTGCACCGGATCTGGATCTTTGGCTGAGCACTCTGTCTGATAAGGAGGCTGCTGATAGTTGTCAATAATGCTCTTCATCTTATGAAGAATTTGGCTTTTTAAGATAATTTGTTGAGCTTCTTTAACTTATTTGCTCTGATGCTGTTATCCCAGCAGATGATGGCAGAAGAGATCACAATCTCAAGCATCTTGCAGCACACGGCGCTCCCCTTATCAAACTGTAAAACAACTTTGGCAAACTTCACCAAAATCTCTGTGAGAATCACATGTCACTGAAATGTTCCACAGTCATTACTGTGGCTGTTTTTTCTTCTCTTTACTCACAGTTTCCATCATATTTTGTAATTCAAACTTTTACCTGTATTATCTTTTCAAGGAGCCTCTTTTTTTTTTACATTTTTCTCATTTAATCCAATCAAATTCCAGACATTGATTTAATTTGTGGGACAGAGCTGAAAAGGGTGGCTCAGTCCTGCAAATATCAGGACATCTGGTCACCCTAACACAGGTTGTAACTCATATGATGTTGCATTGCATCACAGAAACTAGTAAGTAAATAAAAACTTGATGATCTTACACATAAATATCCAATTAAGTATCAACTAAATTATCTGAAAATTTAAATATTTTCATTAAATTAAAACAATGTATTTAATCTATTTATTAATGCTAATTTATGTATATTCAGTTAATTAAACTAATGAGTCATTCGCCATTGTGGCACATTTTGCATTCCACTTTGGTGTAGGATTAACATTTTTTAAAGTTTTATGAAGATATATGGAAACGCTGCATAAGTGTTTGTGTGACTGGGTGAATGAGAAACACCAAAGTTTAGGTTCCCTTCTCACCTGCAAACTGTCTATCAGACGTCCCTCTGCCCCCAAACTTAGTCACCAGCTTCCCATTGGACTGAAAGATGAAGACACAGCAGGCTTTGTTGTCCACAGTGATGATGTGTCCATTTTTATCCACGGCCACTCCTTTAGGACCCATGAGACGTCCTGCACCGATCTTATTCTGATATGAAAAAAATAACAAAGGGATTACATTACATGTAAAAAACAGTTACCTAGATTTAAGTGAAAAGTAATTCCTCAGATTGAGGATTGGCATTTGACCGCCTGAATAATGTGTTCACCTTTCAGAAACAGACAGTTGCTACAAGGTATACTAATTAGTCTTATGAGTTTGTACCTTAAACTTGCCATCTGAGGAGAAGATGCTGACCCATCTGTTGTCGTAATCGGCCACCACGATGTCCCCGTTCATGTCTACAGTGACTCCTGTCGGTCTCTGTAGTTGTCCTGGAGAACGGCCCCTGACCCCGAAGCGCATTTTAAACTGCCCATCATTGGAAAACACCTGCAGTCATTTGCATCAGAAAGCTCACATTCAGCACACAGCAAGAATACCAATCTAAAAAAACACATTGCTGCCTCTATGTGCATGTTCTTCTGTGTGTCTGTCTCACCTGTATGCACTGGTTGTTGCTGTCAGCCACCACCACTCTGCCATTGCTGGAGGCTGAGATTCCTTGCAGATTTGTGAATTCACCCTTTTCTCTTCCCCTGGAACCTGATGGGAAACAGTTAAGCACATAGTGATTGTGATGTTTACAGTCTAACGGTGAATCATTTATTTTTCTTGTCAGTTTATGCCAGAGTTTTCTTCCTATTTCTGAGGAAAGATTGCTGAGTTCCTTCCAGAAAACCACAAAACTCCCACTAGCACTCTGGGACTAAATTACATCAATTGCAGTTCTTGCTCCAGGGATTTTTCTCTGCATGTGCTAAAGAGAGGCAGCAAAAGTAAACACTAAGGGGGATAATGGATATGTGGTGTTCTGCTATTAAATTAAAAACATATAAAAACACATCTATGAAGTAGTCTGTAAACTGTTGCAATGAAGTCACTATATTCAATTATCCTAGATCTGGGTAAACAAAACAAAGTGAATTCATCAGCAACATCAGGGGTCCATTTTAAGAAGCCGGTTTACTGAAAACTCTGTTTTCTAAACCTGAAATATGGGAAGTTCTGAGTTTTCATTTGGCAATGAGAGTTTCCTCAACCTGTTTCAGTCACCGTAGTAATTTTCTACTCTGAGCTAACCTGGTAGGGAGCAGATTTGTTCCGTAAACTATATATATATATATATATATATACACTCACCGGCCACTTTATTAGGTACCCCATGCTAGTAACGGGTTGGACCCCCTTTTGCCTTCAGAATTGCCTCAATTCTTCGTGGCATAGATTCAACAAGGTGCTGGAAGCATTCCTCAGGGAGTTTGGTCCATATTGACATGATGGCATCACACAGTTGCTGCAGATTTGTCGGCTGCACATCCATGATGCGAATCTCCCGTTCCACCACATCCCAAAGATGCTCTATTGTATTGAGATCTGGTGACTGTGGAGGCCATTTGAGTACAGTGAACTCATTGTCATGTTCAAGAAAACCAGTCTGAGATGATTCCAGCTTTATGACATGGCGCATTATCCTGCTGAAAGTAGCCATCAGAAGTTGGGTACATTGTGGTCATAAAGGGATGGACATGGTCAGCAACAATACTCAGGTAGGCTGTGGCGTTGCAACGATGCTCAATTGGTACCAAGGGGCCCAAAGAGTGCCAAGAAAATATTCCCCACACCATGACACCACCACCACCAGCCTGAACCGTTGATACAAGGCAGGATGGATCCATGCTTTCATGTTGTAGACGCCAAATTCTGACCCTACCATCCGAATGTCGCAGCAGAAATCGAGACTCATCAGACCAGGCAACGTTTTTCCAATCTTCTATTGTCCAATTTCCATGAGCTTGTGCAAATTGTAGCCTCAGTTTCCTGTTCTTAGCTGAAAGGAGTGGCACCCGGTGTGGTCTTCTGCTGCTGTAGCCCATCTGCCTCAAAGTTCGACGTACTGTGCGTTCAGAGATGCTCTTCTGCCCACCTTGGTTGTAACGGGTGGTTATTTGAGTCACTGTTGCCCTTCTATCAGCTCCAACCAGTCTGGCCATTCTCCTCTGACCTCTGGCATCAACAAGGCATTTCCGCCCACAGAACTGCCGCTCACTGGATGTTTTTTCTTTTTCGGACCATTCTCTGTAAACCCTAGAGATGGTTGTGCGTGAAAATCCCAGTAGATCAGCAGTTTCTGAAATACTCAGACCAGCCCTTCTGGCACCAACAATCATGCCACCTTCAAAGTCACTCAAATCACCTTTCTTCCCCATACTGATGCTCGGTTTGAGCTGCAGGAGATTGTCTTGACCATGTCTACATGCCTAAATGCACTGAGTTGTCGCCATGTGATTGGCTGCTTAGAAATTAAGTGTTAACGAGCAGTTGGACAGGTGTACCTAATAAAGTGGCCGGTGAGTGTATATATATATATATATATATATATATATATATATATATATATATATATATATATATATATATATATATATATATATATATATATATATATATATATATATATATATGCTTATTCATATAAACGGAATAAATAATTCCGTGGGGGATAAGGAATTACTTTAAGGTTGGGATTAGGATTCATTCGATAATAACTTACTGAACCTACTGGCACAATCTGAAGCCATTCTATGGGAATTATGACTGCTAATAACAAATATTTATTGGGATAATGGCATCCAAAGTTGCTGCAAACAGACACTATTTAATGGAAGACAGAATCAGACTAAGAAGAAACCCAAGTAGATGATATACAGGTCCTACCTGTTAGAACAATATGTGTATTCAGATGAATTTTACAGATACATTGAACCACTACCATTTAATAAATCAACCCGTATTGTTGTCATGGTTACAACAGTCTATGGCAATTTGAATCTTAGTTTGTTAAACTTGCTTCTTGAAACGGACCCCATGTGCAGTAGATGTAAGGTTATAATAAATAAATTGATAAGAAATGTAGATTTTCCTGCAATTATTTAGTTGATTTACATACCCAAAAATATTTTTACTTATATATTTTTTTCAGATTGTATAGAAATTAAGAAAATGTATATGAAATAGTAGAGGAAAACATAATTTTGCAAAAAAACAAAACAAATTATGGCCAAATAAACTGCCAGTAATTTATAGAAATCATCAGTTCAGTATAAAACCAAAACCAGTTTAGGACATTTTTTTCATGGACAACTATTTGCAATAGTAGCAGCAGATGGTTGCTCGCCTCACATAATTTTTTTTAAGTTAAATGACAGTTTAGATAGCAAAGCCCCACCCTCATTATTATTATGATAGAGATAGAAATACTTTGAAGTTATGGGACTGCAAATCATCTATGAAATTATGCCAAAAATAAAAAAATAAAACTGATAAAATCACAGAAAATACATATTAATACATTTCCAGTAATTTAAATGCCTTTTGATGGACTGGCGACCGGGTGTAAACCGCCTCTCGACCGCAGACAGCTGGCACCAGCACCCCTCATGACCCCGCTTGGGATAGGCGTGACGGAAAATGGATGGATGGAAGTAATTTAAATGACGTATATAAAACAGTTGTTTTAGCTGGAAAGTTACACTAAATGATATTTTGACAAATTAGGTAATTGAAAAAAAGACAAAATAAGCTTTATTTTCTTAAAAGATCATAGTGAGGGCATCTACAGAAGAGGTGTAACTTATATATTTTTTATGTATTTAAACACTTTTAAATATATGATTAATCTTTAATTGGAACTGTTTGTGTTTTTTGGGGAAAATATCACAACAACCACATGTTCAAGTATTTTAACTTTGATAAAAATGTGTTGATCTAAATTTTTCTTGGGGATGCTAAGGGTAGCTATAGCACCCCTTAGTATACACCTGGCGCTGCCACTGGTTGACTGAGTTCAAACTTGAAATGCTTGTTGAAGGTAGGCAGTGTGTGATACAGTGAGAGAGAGTTATGGGTATAGAGGACCATCTTTTATTTCCGGGTGGATCATCGAAAGGAGTCGTCCTCCTAATTGTCAATCATTCTGGTGATATGTTTACGTAATGCCGTCCCAAGTACTCGCCCCGTTAGCTATCTTTTTCTGCATATGCGCACATTCAGCCGCCTATATGTGGTGAGCTACAGCTTCAGACAGTCATTGAAGCTCACCTTTCTCACTGCGGTTCTTTAAAAATGGCTGAGGGTCGTAAGAGAAAAAGTGTCTACGAAGCGTTTGAGAAGAAAAGATATATCCCAGAATGCTTTGTGCTTTAATAATCCCAGAGGGAAATTACTCGCAAATTACTATGGGATTTGCTGTCACAGCGGCCCAATGTCACCATAGGCTGTCGCTACCTGACAGTGGCGACTAACAACAAAGATGCAGACGCAGGCACTGCACGGTGGAGGAGGAGTTACGTGACCAGCGGGGCAAAAAGCAGTGATCATCTGTCGGAACGGTCAGTTAACTGAGTTTGCTGTATGTGGACACAGTAAACTTGTATGAGCTATGAGAACAGTAGATTTTAAACGAGGCGTGCACGAAAAGAAATGGGCTTGTGCATGCTTTTGCACATGTATTTTTATTTAAAGAGAAGAGGGGGGGGGGTCTTTTAAAAAATCCTCCACAATACCTTCAAGGTTTTTTTTTTTACAGAGCAAAGTAAAGTATGAAATCTTCGCTTCTTGTTGCTCATCTTCAAGCTTCCATCTACCAGCCTGAAGTATTCATTTCTATCTACTGAGGTGGGAAAATAAAAATGAGCTCCCGACTTGTTGTGTCTTACCAACTCTGTAGATGAGCTCATCCTCAATTGGGTTCTCCTTTTTCTTGGTAGTGCTGTACATGCTGGAGGGCCGTCGTACGGCTTTCTGACGGATGTGGCCCCCTGTTCCACTGGGGGACTTTACTCTCCTTTTCACGTCGTCCGGAGACTGGGGCACATCTGATGGCTTGACTGCTCTCAGGCGGAAAGGGCTGCCTCGTATGGGCTGACCATACAGTAACAGGCTGAATGAGTACTCTCCTTCGGAGCGTAACGTGTAGCCCACCTCGTATGTCCCGTTCTTGTTGTCTGTTATTTCCGTCTCTGCCGCTCTGTTACCATCAGCTGACAGTATCTCTGCCTTTAAAACAGCATTACCTGTCCGCACCAATTCTCCATCCTATGAACAAAGACAAAAATGATAACTGGACATATTATAAAATAGACAATTTATAAAAGGTGTAAAAAAAAATCGAATCTATAGATAAAAAGATGAAAATGTCTCTGGCAATCTCTAGCTCCTACGAATGTAGCTCCTAATGGCGCTGTTAAACAAAATCAGTTATAATAAAATTAAAGAATATAACAGTATACTTTGTCTTTTGTTGTCACGGTAATGGTTTTGTGCTGTCCAGTTGCTGCATGTCGGAGTCCCTCTCCAGTGGCCACAGAGGTGTGGGCCACAGCTGATGTTGTGAGGAGAACGCCCAGGTTCTGGATGGAGCGCCGCAGCCCTTCCGTCTCCACCTGAAGGACAGAGGCTGCTTTAAACACTGCTTAGTGGTTACAACCAGTTCCTGCTGGTGGTTAAATGGAAATCTCTTCAGAATGAGGAAATGTTAGTCATGATGAATGCAGTTGGCATTATATCACAAAGCAGTCAGTACCTGACAGTCTAGATGCGCGTTCTGATGGGGTTTTTCTGGAAAGTCGTGTCTGGCCAAAGCTGTGACCCGCTCACTCATCTGTTTCTGAACCAGCAGCACCTACAACACAGCAGCCTCTTTTATATTCGACACGTTCGTCTTTTTAAATCATTCACATCCAATACTGCATGTAGCTGATTTATTTTGATTCCCTGATGTGTTACTCTATAGTTAGCAAGCAAATAATATATGTAGGCCCACCTCGGTTGCATTCCCATGGCTGAGAGCCTGCTCTGTGAAGCTGCAGCTGCTCTGGATGTGCTCCTTCCCCTGGAGAAGGGAGGAGAGCTGGGTATGGAGGACCTGCACCCATGCAGGTGGAATAAAAGGGACAGCAAACAGAAAATTATAGCCAATTGATAATACACGAGGCAGCAGGATGGGGGAGCAAAAATATAAAATAATAACTCTATATGTATAAATGTATTAAACAGACCTTTTGCTTGCTGCTGCAGATGTTCTCCAGGTCTGTGATTAGGGCGGTCTTGCGATGATGCAGCAGTCGCTCCAATTCTTCAAATGTGCTGTTGATCTCCGCTACTGCCTCAGTTTTCCTTTCATTTAGCTGTCGGGAGATCTCACTCACCAGCTCAATGGCTGCAGTCAGCTGAGGAAGCCTGGGAGACCACCAGAAAAAAGGTTTTCATCAAGACATTTTGAAACATACAAGTATGATACCAACATAATCTATAAAATTAGTAATAAAATAAAACCAAGTTTCTTTTAAAGGATTAGAATCAGTTAGAAATGTGTGAGGATTGTAACTTCTGTATGAACTGGGACATCTAAAATCCCCTCCAAAGATCAAGTTCCAACCTGCTGCGAATGGCATCAAGCTGGGTTTTTAGAGCAGCTTTGTGCTGCTCCACTACATCCCGCAGAGGAACAGTCATATGATCTCCATGCTCTCCCTCTGTGCAGTCCAGACACATGGCTGTCTCACAGGACTCGCAGTAGAACTCCATCACCTGCAGGTGGAGCAAAAACAAGATCATCAACTCTTACCATGCATAGCAGGACATTCAAATTTCATTTTTCTCTCTTTTACTTTATTTGAAGCAACAAATACAAAAAATAAAATTAGGGAAGTGAGGTTACAGAAGATGTTTTCCCACCTTTCCCTCGTGGTTTGGGCAGCAAAGGGGCTTCCCTGCTGCTGCAGCACTGACCGACTCCAACACGCTGCATGCCTCAGGCCGTGAACACTCTGGCTCACGCTGGAGAACCTACACAACACATAACCATACTCATTATAGGTTTATTTCAACACATATGTTTGTTAATAGCCCATTACTTTTAAATCACTGTGTTTTAAAATTCCAGACTGTTTAAATCAGTTTAATATTTCTTTTAATCCAGAACATAAACATTCACTTATCAAACTTCCAGCCACTGCTGATTTAATTCCCATGTGTCCTTAAAAAACTTTTAGAGATTAAGTGTGCACGATGACCTCAGTCAGGAAGAGCCCCAACTGCACACACACTTTCCTCTCACTAAGCCATTCCTATAAAATCTAGCTTTAAAAAAATCGAATTTGTTCTAATCTTCCAATGTTAATGTATAATTAATAGTTTAAAAAATAGATATACATGATGTTTTGGATTACACGTGTGTAGATTTTAATATAGACATTATTTCTGTTATCAGAAAAATGTAATACAGGGTCAGACCTCCATGAGATTAGTGATGAAGAAGTTGTTCTGCAGGGCGCACACTCCTTTCTCGGGCAGAATGGATGTTTGCCGGCACACGGGGCACGAGAGTGTTAGAGACTCCGCCGGAATGTAATTCTGGAGACAGCTACAAACAGGAAGTGAACAAGTACATAAGAGGATACAGCATGGAGTTTAAAAGATATGTTACGCATTGTTCCCTGAAAACATTGAAAGGTGCTTTCATTATGGAGGATTACAGAAATGAAAGCTAAGGAGCCTTTACTGTAACTCTATCACCATCAATGGGATACAATACCTGAGTCGTACAACAAGATTGAAGTGTGGATGAACACATGCTCTATGGAGTGTTTGTTGATAAAATCTCAGTTTGTCTATTGCTCCTGCCGAATCTAACAGGTGTCACATCATGTTTGAGACTGTAGGCTGGCCGGCCAAACACACTTTGAAATGTCGATATCTTGTGCTGGCTGTTTGGTGAGCCTAAAGATGACACTTTTGCTGCAGTTTTTCAGCGATACAAATTTGGATTTTTCTTTATTTATCTTTAAATGCATATCCATCTTGTACATAGTGCATAGCCGTATAACGGGCTCCCTACTGGTTAAAACTAAGGGCACTCTTTTATGTTGTATCTATACCACAAAGGTCACAGAAACCCTGAGGAAAATTTTAAAATGTAAACTGATAATGGACAATTATTAAGGTAAAGTTAGTGTGAAGGGATTGGTAGAGGCACTGGCATTCTCACCATGGGAATTTTGTTCAAATATAACTATATTCAAAACAAATCTATAGACTAAAGTCTAAACTCTTCCATTAGACCTGTATATGAGGATCTACAGAATAGAATAGAAAAATAGAAATATAAGATTTTTTTGATTGGGTTGGCAAACCCCAAAATAAAGTGTTCAGTCAGTGGCAACATATGAAGTGAAATACAGATTTTCTGATGTCCATCTGCTTTAACACCTTCAATTATATACTCAGAAATATCCAGCCATTATACTAACATGAACATGTTATGGGACTAAATGTGTGACTCAACCACAGAACAAAAGCAAAAGACATTCTAAGGACATTGATTGAAGCTGAGGGCCATTATCCAGTGTAAACTAAGCCAGTGCCAACACTGTCTAAAAGGCACTTAGAGAGGAAGAAGTCATCACTCCAGTAGTAACATAAAATTCAAATTACACCACTCTGTGTATTCATGTACAGAGAGCCTTATATTTGAAGATAACTTCTATGATTTGATTAAACTGAAATTTCAGTTTTCGGTATAAAGGACCATCAGAGCTTGCAAAAATAGTCAGATGCTTACGAGGCTGAGGTCTACTTCAGAAATGAAGGGAGGAAAGTAAAAGCATTGGCCTAAATGAGTCTCCAGGAATGAACAATAATCCTTATTAAATACTATTAAATACTATTAAATTAGATATTTGGGGCTCTTGCAGAAATATTCTCAAACAATTTTGGTCCACCCATTCATTCTAGGCTACCTAAACTCTCTACTTATCCTGGAATTGAGATAATGTTGATAGGATTAGTAATCCTAACTGATACAGTGTGCAGTGTTTGGAGGAACGGCATTTCATAATAACGGTATCAGAAGCAGCGTTTTTATTTTAATTGGAAGTCATCTAATGAATTACTTTTTACATATTTACATATTGATGTTACTTCCAAACTGATGCAGAACAATTCTATACAAAGTATATTTTATTTTTGTTAAATTACTATAAAAAGCTATACATGCAGGTTACCTTTCACAAAAAGTGTGCAGACAGGGCAGGACCTTGGGGTTATGGTAGTGATCCAAACAGATGCTGCAAACCAGGAACTGCTTGTCTATCTGACGGACCACGGGGCTGGTGCTCCCAGCGTCCCGCTTGGCCATGACAATGGACATCTAAAGCCACAGACAATGACAGCGGTCAACCTGTAGGGGGAAGAACAAAAAAATAATGAAATTAATCAAGATGCTGACATTCCTAGATGTCAAAAGCTGGTCTTCAATGAAACATTTTTTTTTCTCTTTTATGTGTTATCAGAAAATAGGTATCCACAATTTAGAAAAAAAAGGGAAAAAGAAAAAGGAAAGCAAAATTTCTAAATAAATACTATGAAAGCGGATAAAAGCATGGATACAAGTGACGATACAATCAAAACTAGAGCAGGAAACACAACTAGAAGAATATCATCATTGTAAAAATGAAAAAAAAAAAAGCTGTAGGTAGAGTAGGAGAATTTGAAGTCAAATTGCCTGAAGCCAAACATTAAAATAACATTGTTTTGCATTTTACTGGAGTTTGCAAATGCAACCATTTGAAACCTGAAAATCCAACTTAAGTAGCACCTGTGTGTAATCCAAGTACTGTGTCATGTTTGGAAGTGACACCATCCAAATCCAGACATAGTCATTTAACTCTCATAACTCACAGTAAGGGAAAACTATCCACCCGTGACAAACAGCAATGGCGGCTATAATTGGAACTATATTATAACTGTTTCTGCTAAACATACTAGAAAAAAGACAGCAGCTTATCATAAACACAAATGTTACATAACTATGCTGGTAAAGCTTAGGGGAAATAGACCAACATTCCTTGAAAGTGTTATTTACATTTAGTACATTTAGTACGGCCTCTAACCAGATTTTTCCGTTTACGCTTTAAATATCCGTATTGTACAAATTATATAGAAATTCTAGGCAATTACAAAAAATATATATGTATTTTTTAATTACGCTTTTAACCTGTGCTGTTTTAAAAGTATTCAAAATGTTTCAGACTTTCCATGTTTTTTTTGTAAAACCTTCCAATGCCTTTTAGCATACACTCCTGGTACAGTATACTGAATATTTTCATTAAAAACCGTAATGCAAGAAAATATTTGGCCTGATTTATTGCAAATCCCCCCCACCAAAAAAAAATAAAAAATCTAATGCTGCATAAATGAAATGGTTTCTAAACCCCTGCGGTAAGCAGAGCCAAGGAGCCACAAGCTTTACATAATCTGATCTAGAGAAACAGAGCTGGGTATTCTGCCTAGCAACAAAAACCAGCCTGGTCCAAAAATGGCCCACTTCCATGCTCATCTTTGCAAGCACATTACTCCTGAGAAAATATGTCAGAAGGAGCAGGTGCATTGTTGTTTTTAAACACATGGGTTATATAAATAACATAATCAATGAAACAAAATTATCTTATATTGCATGCATTGTTACTTGAGTGAACTCTTAGCTGTTTGACCTGTGCACATGAGTTGCATGTCATAGTTTCCAACTGGCTCCAGTAATTTGAATAAGTCATATTTTCTTGTTAGGTGTGTATTATCTGTGTCAAAAATGTTGTGTATTAATTGCACAAAAAAGCAGAAAGCTGTATGAGTCTGTAGCAAGCATCTATTGAACATAACATTCTTATTTACAAATAAGAAGAGAAACACTATAGTTATGACTACAGTAAAGTATAGTAAAAAAAACATTTAAGTTTAAGCTTTAAGGATAACTTAGTTCATCAGCCCCCACCTGCCTCTGGTTCTCTCTTTACATCTGCAAACTTGAATCCAAAGCATCCCTCTAATCCCTCATATCTAATCTGTTCTGATGCCCAATTGTTACACGCAAACATGCAATCTGAGTGATTAAGAGTCAGTGTGTTTCCAGTCATTGCAAAGAGGATCCAATGACATCCACTCTTTATATCGGATGTTAAATGTCATGTATGTAGCTCTTAACCATGAGAAAATATCGCTTTCACCCTGTGGTGATGTTGGGCACACACCAAACGTTTAGTAGTAAATAGCTTACATTTAGGGACATGTGAATGTACAGTATGGGGCTATGTTGGTTTTAAACTACAAGTGAAAATGTTTATGTCCACCCTTAATCAATGAGACACCAATAGGCTTACAGCACAGTGAAGATTGTTTGCTCTTTTACCGATTTGTTCTGTTATTTTGGGGGGATTTTTTGTCAAACGTAAATGTGTCATCGAACAAATTAGAAGATAATCTAAATACAAAATGAGGTTTTCAAACAACAATTTCATTTTACAAAAAAGTCATCCAATCAGTAAAACAGCACCAGGTACTACCAACAGCCTATCAACAATCCAGTGAATAAATACAGATCAGTGGCTGAGACCTCATAAAAAAAAAACACTGTAAAACTTGATCAAACTTTCTGCTAAAACAATTTGAGAAAAACTCAAAATGGAAACTTGGGTGCTAAGTTTATCCAGATCAACAGCAAGAATATTATATCAATTACATTAATACAGCACTTAATAACTGAAGAGGGGATTTGTTTCTAAAAAAATAGTGCAATCTCAACTTAATAAATTTTCATTTAATCTGTCTGGTTTTATTGGCACTGGAGGCTAAACACATAAATGCCACTTTCATTTTAACTAAATCTTAAAATGTTTGAGTCATGCATGAAAATGCATGATAAAATAAATGTTGCTCCAGTTATATCAAACAGCTGAAAAACATCTAAAAACAGATGAATAGGAAAAAAAAACAAAACATGCAATACTTTTTGTTTTGTATTGGTGAAGAAGTGACAACAATCCTCTTCTAGATGTGTTTTAAATGCAGTCAGAAAAGTGTAAATATCTCTGTGCATTTATCCATGCCCAGTTAAACTCCAAAGTGGGGCACAATTGTTTGATTTGAAGCTCTTAAGTAACCATGACCGGCTGAGTGTCAGGCTCTGAAATGATTGAAGGGGTAGAGATTTGAGTTTAGACTCTACAGTCCAAACAGTGGGGAAGCGTGATGCAAAGCTCCCAAAATAAGGAAGCTTAAAAAAACCAAATGTATTTATAAAAGGAGGGATCTTTCAGGGAGCTGTCAACTGATATAATAAAAATGATGAGTGTTTTATTCCCCGGGGTATGATGCTCACCGGGAAACAGCAGCAATGTAGCAGGTGACCTCAGTACTGAATAATTCAACAAAACTTTCAGGATTAGACTGCATGTGCGTGTGTGTGTGTGTGTGTGTGTGTGTGTGTGTGTGTGTAACTAAACTGTTTATGGGAGTGTATTCCAGTGCTTGTGTCCAGCATTTGGTTTGCGTGGAACAAAAAGCTAACACCCAGGCACACAATGCCACCATTCTCTGTCGGCTTTAGAATACAAAAGTAGCTAATTTTCCCTTCAAGATCTAAAATCTCTGCTCTTGTATTAATGCAAGAGTACGGTTCTCAGAATCCATACACACTTGTCTTTATCATCTATACGTGGAAAGAGAGACACAGGAAGTTTAATTTTAAACTGGCATTTCAACAACAGATCATACTGGAGGGACAGAGAGTGAATACAAAGCATCTTGCCTTCTGCTTCTGGTCACTGTGATGCACCTGTGCAATGCCAGCAAATGTGGGCTGACAGCTTGGGCAAACACCAATCAGAAGACTCTAAAGTCACACAAGCAGGCAACATACATATAAGGCTAAACAGAGACAGAGTTGACAGAGTCACTACCTACTGTCAGCAGAGAGGACAACAACCGTCTAGAAGGCTTCATAGCTGGTCTGTGTGAATTTTGTTGTGACTCACACGTTACTGCTCACTCCTCATCTCTTCTGACTCGTTTCCTTTTCCTTCCCGTGCTTTTCCTATTTCCATATAAAATCACACACACATTGAATAAGGCTGAACCCAGATGACAACAGAGGGTGGGGCTGGGATTTTGAACAGGCCCTCCTACTGTAAGAGCTGTGCACAAGCATGAGCTGACTGGGTACCCTCCTACTGCCGCTCTCTGATTGGCTGGGGAACCAAGGCTAGTGGGGATGACAGATTGCATCATAGGGCAACAATTTGTGCTGGCGAGAGCGAGTGAGAGGTGGAGACAAAAAGAGAAACATTTCCAGTCTGAGCATAGATGTTAACCCGCTGCTTTATGATTAAATGAGAAGTCTATAGCATCTGGACGGATCTAATTATTGAACTAAGCTTAATTTTTTATATGAATTTCACCTCCAGATTTGTTATTTGTTTGTTTTTTGAAGAAAAAAATATCACCCCTTCACTTGCCAGGCACATAATCAGGAGCATGACCTAACAGAGACTACTGTAGGACGCAAAATAAAGATAGTGTCATAGATTTACCTCTTTTGCCATAAAAAAAATAATCTGGAACAACCCTGAGAGCTAAAGCTAAAGATCCTGGTAAACGTTCCAGATCCCTTTTACTTTTTCACAGTTTGACATTTTACAACTACAAACACAATCTCCTTTAACTATTACCACAATGGTTTCAAACTCCACTTTATACCGGTTGGATCAATGTCCAACATGCTTTATATGTGCCTCTGCCCCGACGCCACCAAGCTAAATGGTTTAATTGGCTACTTGGCGAGCCATCCAAATTGGAGCCCTGATAACGAATTATTTATCTGGTTCAAGTGTGTTGAACCAGGAAAAAACACAGGACAGCAGCTCTTAAGTCTGAAGGTAGACTTCACTGACTGAATTTCATGATTGGTACTAAACTAAATGAGACTGAATAGAATTACAAGACACATTTTCAGAGATGTATTTATTGATATGTTCTAAAGCCATATTTCTTCTTCTTTTTTCCTCAGTCATTCTTAATATTTTATTGGTTAATCATTTAAAGCCTGATAAATAACACTCCTTTGGATTAAACAGTACAATGTGTTCATAGTATCAAGGGGTGTGAGTATATTTGTCACAATAAGGCACCATAGCTAAAATGTGCTGCCACTAAATAAATGTTACACGGACTGCTAATGCATTGTGTCTTTATAGTGTGGTCAGAACATAATCTGGGCCAAAAGGTGACGGTTCTCACCCCATCAATCTGCCGTTAATCTGTGCGGATTGAGTCCAGTCGTTCCTCCTCCCCCGCACTGCTTCCGCTGGTTCCTCCCACACCTTTTTTTAAAAACCTCCCATCATCCAAAACTCATGGGCCTGAGACAGCTATTGTCTGTGCAACAGGAAGTCAGGGATAAGAAGATGAGAATGGAACACAGAGTACTGTAGGTACAGACAGAAGCTGTATTTCATAAACCGTTACGAACATGGCTTGCTGAGGTGTGTTTGCAAACTGATTTCAGCAAATAATTTGCCGCTTGATTGAACAGCTTTGAGAACATGTATTTTTTAATCACTCTACAAAAAGTAATTTGGAGAAGTTTCTAATAAAACATATCCCCATGCAGCACTCCAGCCTTAATTTGTTCTAATGATAGAAAAAGTAGTATAGGTCTGAGGATTGTGCTACATTTTAAATAATGGAATGGATGACAAAAAAATTAAGGAAGAATCTGACGCTGAGGCTAATCTGGGGAGTGTTTTGATTGGTGGTTGTTGAGACTCAAATTCCAAAATGTTAAATGTATTTTTTAAGAAACTAACAAGCCAGTTAGGAGAGTTGATGGTGTTAAGAATAGATGCATAATCGATGTGGTGCCATGCAAAAGAATTCAACAATGAGAGTCCCCTAGTGTGTAATTTAATCTAAGCCTTATTACAGCAGCATTGTAAAAAGCTGTACTTAAAGAATTGAATGCATCTTGAGGACAAAGAAAAAGAAATACAAGAGACTGGTCAGAGAGAATGTAAAAACAGGGTTAGGTAAGCAAACAAGGAGCCCAACACCTAAAGTTACATCTGCTGCCCAACCAGCAGATGTTGGTAGTTGTGACATACTAACAAAATAAATGTTTGATTTCTCTTCGGATTGGTCAAGATGCTGGTTTTTTGGTGATATTACTTATTAGTTCATAATTTTCACACATAGTACTGTTTAATTTACTTACTCTCTGACAAAGTCTTCTTTGCTAAGAGCCCCGTTGCTATGGAGCGTTATCTTCAGGATCTGGTGTAAATTTTAGTTTCAAACATACATCAAACACAATGTCGCTTTGCTGCGCTTACTCGCTGTTACATTTCCGGTCTATTTGATGCTTTAGAGGGCCGATTGAATCAAGAGAGAAAAAGAATCAAACATGCAACGAGAGACATTTACAATATAATCAACAGGGGTTGACGTTAAAGATTTTTACCACTTGCCCTTTAGGCAAGTGGCTTTCACATTTCATTTGCCCAGAAACAATTTTTACTTGCCCTGTATAATGTTTGATAAATATAGTTCCTCCGGAGAATTCTCTCCCCAAGAGCTGAATCATCTAGTGGAAAATCACGCGGCTTTTTCAAATCACTTGAGAATGTGTACAAAACAACAAAGATGGCGCTGGCAACGCTTGTGGGTCGTTTTCAGCGAATGTCGGTGATTTCAAAGTCATTTTGAGTGATGAATATTTATAATTATATTGCATTTGCCCGGTGGGCAAATGCAATATAATTTGTACTCTCCAGACAATAAAAACTGCTTGCCCCGGGCGATCGGGCAATGGTTAACATCGAGCCCTGATCAACATCCTCCATTTGATGACAACATGCAGAGATTGGAAACTAAGGCCCCGTCCACACGAAGTCAAGCCCTGGCCTAAAAGCACACATTTTTCACCAAACCAGCCTCTCATCCATACGAAGCCGGCGTTTCGGGGGTCTGTAAACGATCTTTTTTTTATTAAGCCTTTAGAGTGGGAAGATTTTGAAGCGGCGTTTTCGCGTTTCCATCTTTAAGCTCTAACCGCATTTTTTTTTTTACACGCATGCGTCATAGCGTCGCCTCTACAGTAAACACGCATGTGCGACACAGTATCACAACAACAATGGCGCCGTACTGTGTTGAATGGTTGCTGCTCATGCTACTCACCCTGCTGTCGGGCTTACAACAGAATCTTCTTCTTCTGGAATATCTCCAGGAAGAACAGAGCAATATCAACGACATGGTTCAGCACCTGAATTTGACTGAACCACGAAAATGGACCCAAAAATGGACGATCGCATTTATTTTACGTCTCCGTCTTTACGACAAACGTTCTGGAAAATATTAGCGTTTCGTGTTCGCTTTGACTTTGTGTAGACGGGGCCTAAAACTGAGCATGTAAATTATTCCAAATAATGCATGTGAACTGTAGCTTAGTTTGAACTTATGGTAACAGCAAAACTCACACTCACTGAACACTGAATGAGTAGAACAGCTGGCAATGATGAATGGATTATCCACCATTAAAAACATCCATTTGTAAAGATAGCACTGCAAAAGGGGCAAGGATACTAAACAATTCTCAATCAAGAGTTTGAAGGACCAAATTAAATATATATTTACAATTAAAAGCTGCATGAAATAATCTATTGAGTTGCAAATCACAAAGACATGGAACACCCAACAAAAGAAACCTGAGTGCTAGAATTACAAACAGCAGTTAAAAAAAAAACCTTAATCCTACTCATACTTGTCATCTCCTTCTTATCTGGAACTTAGTGATGGGGGCATAAGTGTCAGCAGAGACTCACAGACTCCACCAGCTCCTCTGGGGAAGCCCAGGGTGGTCCAGGACAGCCAAGAGACATAGTACCTTCAGCATGTCCTGGGCCATCCCCTGGGCCAACTCCTAGTGTAATGTGCCTGGAACACCTCCCAAGGGAAGCGTCCAGGGGAGCTACCAAAAAAGATGTTCGATCCAACTCAACTGATTGCTCTTGATATGGAGGTGAACTGGCTCTACTCTGAGGCCCCCCTCTATGGCCTAAGATCCTCACCCTATCTATATGGGGATGTCCAGCCACCCTGCTGAGGAAGCTAAATTAGCCGCTTGTGTCTGGGATATTGTTCTGTCATTATCCAGATTACATAACTATAGGTGATGGTATGAACATAGACTGACTGCCTCTCAGCTCAACGCTCTCTTCACCACAAGAGACGCAATATCCGCATCACACCAGGAGCTGCATCCATCTGTCTGTCCATCTTCCACTCCATTCTCGTCTCACGTGTGAACAGGACCCCAAGATACCTGAACTTATCCACTTGGGTCAGGAACTCTCCTCTAATCCTAAAAAGGGTATGCAACCTTTTTCCGATCGTAAGCAAGGACTTGGTCTTGGAGGACTGATCTTGATCACAGCCACTTCTCAATCTTCTGTGAACCGCGCCACCAAATACTGTAGGTTTTGGCAAGAGAACACCAGCAGACCCATGTTATTAACAAAAAGCATGGGAAAAAAAACAAAAATTCCTTAAATCAGACCCCCTCCGGCCCTTTCCCACTCTTAGAAGCCCTTTTTGTCTAAATCTTTGTCCATGAAGGTTATGAACCATGTGCTTCCCTGTCCCTGCTCTTCTGGAATGACATAAAGATAGTTGGACATGCCAGGCATAGGGTGACTGCTTTCAGGCAAAAAAAAAAAAAAAAGTGGTTTTAGAATAAAGCAGGATGATATTTAACTATTCCAATGTATTCTGATATAAACCCTTTTGTAAATTCATGAACTATCCTTTAAAGCCTCATAATTAATGATCAGAAGCTAGATTACTTTTTTAGCCAGAATTATTGCCTATCATGCCAAAAGTAAGTGGTTTTTAAGCTTTCTATGAGCTATCTAAACAAATATGAGCTTATGCATATATGACAGATAATGTATGCACAAATAAAAACAAACTTGTGCAGCTAATTCTTGAATTCAAAATTCTTTATAATGGCATTTTGCTATGTCCCTTTCAAAAACCTAAAGTCTCTTTAGCCCATGCAGTATCTTCAGAGAGGAAATGTAAGTTGTTTAACTCAGATGCAAGAGTTTAGTTCTCATGTCTTCATACACAAACACGCTTTTCTACAAAATACTGAAGGTGTTGATACCAAAGAAGAAAGTTGCAGAGATAGCACTTTTATCCAATGTGTCCGCGTCCCAATGCTCTTCCCTAGATTTTTTAATTAGTTTTTCTTGGCCCTGTTCCCTGAAACATTGCCCTGCATCTAACCTTGTAGCTAAGCGACAACCACATCGCATCACACCTTGGCTGCAACAACATGAAGTGTTTCAAGGTTTCTACCCAAATATGTATTACCTCTGTATTAACCTAGGTACTAAATGTACCTTAAAAGGCTTTGCCTTAGTATTTCATGGTGGTAAAAGTTTTAATCCTTTCTCAAAATGTGTGTTTTATTTAAAATTATTGAAAAAAAGTATGCTAATACAGTTTAGATTTAAAATATCTAGAAATATTAGAGAATGTACAAAAAAGTATTAAGGTCTTACTTCATGTCTTTGTTTTCTAGCTGTAAGGTAGATTTCTGGCTGTTCAGCGCTACATAAAAAAGAAGAAGAAGAATAAAAACAAACAGAAGGACACCGATATGAGACAGAGGGTAAACATTAAAATGTGTCAATTCAGAGTTCAGGATTCACATAATATTAACTTTTGCAATAGTTGGAAAATCTACAATGACAAGTTTGAATTTTGCAGATTTACTGAACCACTATACACTAAGGTTTGGATACATTTCGCTTAGGGAGTTGCAAAGAAATAACATATTTTTTTATACATCAAAAAGCCTCTGGCTTAATCTAACAGAAATTGTGTTGCTCTTTTTTTCTTCTATAAAAGTCTTGCATACCTCCAGGCACATATCTGACTTTTTAAGCATAATTTGTTGAGATGCAACATTCCCCCACCCCACCCCCACCCCCCATTGCACTTGTACTACTGGCAATAAAGCTGTTCGTCAGCATGGTTACACAACTGCCATGCTTGACCTAAAAGAAAAAGAAAATACACCTTATGATGCTACAACCCTGATAATTGCTAATATTTGTTGTATATGAATATATAAACTTATAATATTCAACCATGTCTGGATTGAAAAAAAAAAAGATGCGATAGTTTTAAACATAATGTATTTTTGAAAATTCTCTGAACTTGTCCAAATGAATTAATAAGCGCCACAAATTAAATGAAATCACTTTACACTTATTCCTAAGGTGAGCATACATAAACCTCTATATCCAGTACCTACCACTCCTGTCGGTAAGACTACACTAATGTGTAAAGTTTTGGTGTTTCTCCTTATAAAGACATGTAAAAACATAAAAGCACATCATTAGTGCTGGCACCCCTCTGATCTCCTGCACAGATCAGTCTTAAGGGTTCACATACATGTATGTCTATATATAGAGCTATCAGTTCTTATCCCCTTCCTACCATTGACGGTCACGTGCTCCAAGCGGCACATACTATTTTAGAAAGCAGTTATGCCATCTAAAGAAATGACAGAGAGCTACTGAGGATAGACATCTAGCTAAATATTGCAATTTAAACATAATTTCAGAAATCCCGACTATATTAGCAGCTAACTACCACACACCAGTGGCGGCCGGCCCATAGGGGGCGCTGGGGCACCGCCCTCCCTGATAAGAAGAGAGAAACGTAAAATATATTTTTAGAAATTAAATCATAAATGTCAGTTTTACTCTCTAGACTGTGTACCTATAAGCAAAACAAATTATATAAACTACATTTCCCTATCTACTGTCATTAATTTGTGGATTTCCACAGACAGACTCCTACCGTCTCTGTTCTGGGGGCTGTGATCAGACTGACCCACATTTGCAGAGAATCTGTCAATCATGTACTTTTGCTAGGTGAATTTAATGGCCAATCAGCGTCTCGGAACTTTATGGTCTTGGGGCGCTGAAAATACTGCGCTTTTACAGGCTTCTGAACCCAAGCGCAGGTGCAGACAATGAGAGGGACGATGGCGAACGTAACAAGGAAGATGCAGCTTCCACCAAATTCGGTGAGATCCTTATTTATCTACCCGTTTGCCGGAAGAACATCCCTGTTGTAGGATATGAACATTTCATGTCATGGTTATTGTGACTGTGACGAATCCACCTCCTCGCTTAAAACAACCTCTCTAACTTTGCGCGCCACACACACGTTCCTGCTATACTGTGTTTGTGAGGACCAATACACTCGCGCTGAGCCCAGTAGCTCCATGAACTTAAAACACACAAGCTGTTCCTGATTACCTGCTGGCATATTGAGGGTGCACACTTAATATTTCAGTGGGGTTAGCCGTGTGTGTGTGTGGTATGTGGGGGGTGTGGGTGTGTGTGTGTGTGTGTGTGGTGGGTGTGGGTGTGTACGTGTTTATGCTATGGGGACTTGTCATCTTCAGTCTGGCTGCATCTTTGCTGGGTTCAAATCCAGTTTGGTGTAATTGAATAAGTCAACGAATCTGTGTAAAAGAATTAAGTTGTAAAAATTATTTGTTTTTGTAAATTAATTGTTTGTGGAGGTAATATATGGACAAAACTGATTAATGAGAAGAAATCAGAAATAAGAGAGCCTGAGGTGAGGGGCTTAAACTATTTAATGAGGGCTGTGGGAAGAAAAGCGGCAATTTTTGTTGTCTGTTTCTTTGTTACATTGCTGGTAACTGGAGGGAGGCTGAGGCCCAGAGTATCTGGTATATGTTTAGTTTCTTTTGCACCCTGTTTTGATTTTTTGAGCTCAATAAATCAGCAACACCGGTAACCCGACTGAGCCTGGATTCTTGGAGGCCAAAGAACCCCGTCACAGTGACCCAAATCATCACTGTTATTATATAGTAAATTAAATCATTACTGTTAAATTGTATGTATTGTCCAATTGTTTAATCGAATTCTTATTCCGGATTAGTTGGAGACATACACTAGGCTATATCAGCCCCACCAAAAATATTTTTCACCAGCCGCCACTGATATATATATATATATATATATATATATATATATATATATATATATATATATATATATATATATATATATATATATATATATATATATTTATATATTTAATCCCTTCCACTGGCCTTGGCCCCCCATGTCCATTTAATATAGATCCGCCCCTGCCACACACCTTACAAATGCATATTCTGTTGCAAAAACCTGCCTGGTTTCCAATGTCTTTACTGCAGTTAGTATCAGCGGGATTTTTCAAAACATATTGGGGTTTTTTTTGTGTTTTTTTTTTTTTGTATTTCAAAAAAACAAAAAGGCATAAAAATCTCTGTTCAAATCAAGTGTTATTGCAAAGCACTTTATCAATGGCTGGCACAAGAAATCCAATGTTTTTATTTAACCGGTTGTTTTAATGATAGAGTTACCTTCAGGCAAAACAGGTGTGGAAAAGTAAATTATGTGAGATTAAGGCTTCAGACAAACATTGAGCTTATCACAACATAGGTTACTAAAAGCAGTGATTGATAACCATAATGCACAGTACATATGGTTGTTTCTGCTTTTTCCTATGTCTCTCCACTAAATTTTTTCATCCTTGAAATCACAGAGTGGATCATTTTAAATTTGATGTTAAAAACCTTAAAAGCTTTAATTTACCTGATGCTGATGGGATTAGATTTAAACAAAACCTCACATCTTAACTTGACATTTCTGATCGAGAATGCACAGTTATGAATTAAAAGCATGTAGTTTTCAATAAGTAAGAAATTAATGAAAAAGGGGGGATTAAGTGGAAGTTTTAAACATTGAAAAATATCACATCCCTGTTTGAATGCCGGGTCTTTGTGTGCACACAGTTTCAACCTCTTCCTGGTTGATTTCTGACTTGCCCTTATTAAAGATGCACAAGGTAACTCTGGAGGGGCTGCAGAGAGCCACAACACAGGTGACAAAATCTGTTGTGGAGAAGTCTTTATGTTTTGCGCTCCTTAAATCTGGTCTATTTGGCAAGATGAGGCTTTGAGAAGAAAATGTGACAATTCATTTCATACTGCTACTATCTTTAATTTAATTTAACTGCAAGTATTCTAGGGTCTATGCCCTAACCACTAGGTCGCCATTCCCGACTATCTAGGGAACATACTGTAACAGTAATGTATAGAGTACGTTACGTGAGTGGAAAAAACACTGCTGTAGTCTTTAAAAAACTTTATTTCAATCTCTTAATAAAGTAAAACTTTATCAAGAGACTATGGAAAAAAACATTGAAGTAGACATCAAGTTCCAGCAGAACGACTTTGATTAATAGATACAGGAGCAGCTCAGATGGACTCCTAGATGCAGCTCATTTGCCTCTCCGATTATAAACGCTAATGCAGATTCTGTCTGTAACAACCTCCTGATATGTGATGACTTTAAACCAAATCAACTAATTCTCACCTTATTGAAATGAATAAATGAATCTACCTACAATGACATTCAATATTCTTACACTGATTTTACGAGAAACATCTAAAGTGAAGTGGAATATGCATAAGCTCGTTTGGCCAACATCATATAGATGGAAATTTTATAAAACATCAAAAAGGAAAAGAACAAGATGCACACATTTTTATCCTCATGCTTCTCTTTCATCAGCTGACCCCACTTTTCTTACCATACGCTTGGAAGTATTTCAGTGAAAATGGGTCTGTGCCACAGGGTAGAGGAACTGACCCTGAAATAATTTGTTTCTTTAAATAACCGAGGGAATAGAAGCCATGAGTCAAACAGCATTAACACAAACAGATAGTTTGGTCAGTACTGAAACTGGACCACAGTGCTGTTTCAGGTAGGTGGAAATATATCAGACTGATCCTGTTGAAGGGAAATGTGCAGAGTTTAGAACTATGTCATAACATGAGAGATTTCAGGCAAACGAAAGAAAAAAGGTCAAAAGAAGAGTTTATGTAAGAGCTGAACACACAGAAGAAAGGCACGTCAAATATAATGTGAAAACAATGGAACTTTGCCATGGGCTTTTTTTTTTGCTTCCACAGCTCAACATCATGCACAGAAAAGAATGTTGGAGAATCTACATTTTTTTATTGAGCCATAAACATTTTTAGGGACTTCAAAAAATAAAGAAGACATATTTGCTTAACTGTAAGTAAAGCCTAATATAATCTGCATTTTCATAATTTAGTAATTTACTCCAGAAAGTAATAATATTAATGCATTTTATCTATGAAGAACTTTACATTTATATAAGCAGATCTCAAAGCAGTAAGTATTTTTATCCTTCAAACCTTTTATTTTGTAATGTAGCCACAGTTTTCTTATTGACATTTAAAGCGAGATATTTCTGAAGTAGGAGAAATTAACCCAATCACTTGCTTATTTTTTTTTTTAATAAAAATCTGAAAACAGTATCTGTTTCAGTGAGTCAAAGTAAAAAAAAAAAAAAACCTATTTGCTGCAATTAAAGCTGCCTTACATTTTGCCCGTTCTTTTGGTTATCAAAGTTCTCACACTCAGTAAAATTCTCAGTGAAATGAAGGTATTGATCTAGCCTGGATATGCTTTGGTCATTTTGATTGTCCCTGAAAAAAGGATCTCATGACATGATGCTGCCACCACCGTGCTTCCCAATGAGGATGTTTTAGCAGGTGGGAGTTTTTTTTAACACTCATCATGTTTTGAGTGTAGGCTGAAAAGTTCACTTTTCTGTTACATCAAAACTGAAAACTTTTTTGTAGAATTAAGAAATCTGCTGGCTTTCTTTATGCCCCTCAATAAATCTTGAGTATTTTTCTGCACAAAAGATTCTCCCACTTTCTTTGATAGATGTTCTTCCTCTTCCTGATACCATCTGATAGATGGTCATTTCTTGAGAGGTTTACATCTGTAATATAATTTATTTTCTCTATCCTTTTTTAGCTTATTTATAAATAAACTATTTATAAATATGAAAAAATTATGAAATGATTTAAAATTTGTAATCCCCATTATAATTTTCATAACATAAACGACTATAGCATTAACAACTATTATAAGACATTATTAACACAGCGAATCTGGTTTGATGCAATCTGAACTCAGACATCCAAGGATTAAATTAATTACAATTGGGTCGATGGCACTTCAAAGACCTTTATTGGTCAGAGTGGTGAGGCTGTTCAAACACCTAACCGTCTCAACACTAATGGTAAGCATCATCACGCCTCTGTCATTAAATCGCTGCCATGATGACAGGGCAGAAAAACAGCAACGCCGGCCTGCTGACTAACATGTAACAGCATAGAATTTTATTACGTGCAGCCTTCTGGCAAGAGGGATGTACCTTTTTGTTTCCCTGTCAACAAACAGTGGGCAGCTGAGTGACATAAGGGCAGCTAAAATTATCAGCTTGTGTGATCCGAGCTGGGCGGTGCCTGTGTCACAGGATGTGCCTGTGTCCACACAGTTTATACCAGGTATACACCTCTATTGCTGTATGTTTCTTCTTCTGGGAAATAAAATTCAAAACACAAAAAACATCATCCAATAACTATAAAGGTCCTGTAAAAGCACAAAAAACTCGACACAACAGTTTTATAGTGCACCACATTTAGTAAGTGGCACATCTTGCTTCTCTATAATACAGCTCCTAAACTGAAAGGTGGAAGAAGGTGACGGCTACGAGGAACACTCCTGGGTCAAAGGAGAAATCTTAATAATGCTTTTTTTTTTTTTTATAATAGGAAATAACGAGGCTTACTTATAAATGAAATATTTGAACTGATACAGAGGAATGTAATTCATTAATTAGCAGCTCTCTAACTGGGTGTCGGGGAGAAATCCATTGTTCTGTCATAACTTATTCAAACGAAATAACAGCATGCTGTCGCATTCAGGCAGAGACAGAAGATGGAAGTCATTAAGTTGATGAACATCTTCTGCATCTGCAAACTGAAACACCATGGCAGACCAAAAAACTACCAAAAAATGAACTGCTTCCAAACCAAACTGCACCTTTCTGTGTTATTCCTCTGATATCAGAAGCATTTAGAGTCAATACTTCCTTAACATTAGCAATAATCAGATTTACCGACTGCAAATACTTTCAAAGCTTTGCCAATTAAGATGATTTAGACTTTACCTGATGTGGCTCCCCTGACCTTGTGGGGATGTTACCTAAACTTTGGATGTTTACATTCAAACATATCATAAAAAATGTTAAAAGGGTTACTTGATATCTTTTTATGTACATTAATCCTTGTATATTTTTTTATAAGCAAACTATTTCTTTGAGCCTGCTTTCTCTTATTTGTATTTACTTTTCCTTAAAGCAGTCTTTCTGCTCTTTTTCCTCCCACAAACCCCCCTTTTGATTAATGAACTTTAAAGCTTAAAAAAAACATTAGATTTTTTTTTCTTTATATTCCGACATATTGTAATGAATGGTTGTACATAAAAAAAAAAAAGTGTAAAAGTTTTTGGAACATTTCTCTCTATGTAACTCATACATGATTTTGGAATTTTTTAAGCAATGAATGGAAAATAAATACTGAGTCTCATGCTGTTACTGTAGATCAAACTCTGAAGAATTATATAAAAGAAAATGTAAAAAATAGATATATATTTAAGCTCTACAAGGAATCTCTGCTTTTTTCTGCTTGCTGAAAACAATAAAGCTCTACATCTCCAGCCTATTTTACAAAGGAGTTTGTTTTAGGGTGAACTTCAACACATTGCTTAATTAGATTAAAGTAGTTTGGTTAGGATTTGTTTTATGTGGCAGCTTTTTCAAGCATTTACATTGATTTCTGACAAAGAAAAGTTAAGGAACATCTGATAAACATACAGGAACCATCGGCCAAGATGACTCTCAGTGACAGGGTCTATTACATGTTCTGAGAAACATGAACCGTAATGTTAATACAATTCATTCCAATTCATTCAAGAGTGAAACAGTGACTTTCCTCAAAAAAAGCTGTAGCAGTCTGATATTGAGCTAAGCAAAGAGGTAAATATAGCTGCAGCACAAACAGAGCAGAAAATCCCATCATTACAGCGGCTCTGGCAACCATTCATCACATTTCACTGCTAGGTTTACATCTCTTCTCGTCTGACTCCCACCGCTTGCATGTAGCTCCTGGGACATTCCTCCCATACCAGCTGGACATTCCAGCCTTTGCTCAGCCCAGATCAACTCGGGGTTCCATCGGGTCACCATTTTAATGTTTACACAAATGTCCCCGTTCATCACTCCAGCCTATCAGCTCATGCATCTTTGAAAGTGTTCAGCTGGAGTCATCCGCTGATTAAATCCTGGCGTAATATTCTATTCATAGCATCTGCTTCAAGTCCATGTAAGGTTTTGCTTACATGTGCATCAGCAGCGTCTTAACCGAGTTGGGAAAACATATCCGTGTTAGTTATGTTTCATAAAGGGGAACTTTTGAGTAGTTTAGACACATCGATGGCCATCTTGGACCAAAATGTTTATGTGGCTCTGTGGTTCCTTTAGTTTTAGGGTGCCTTACAACGGAGTTCACATCTGGTTATTTGTTTTTTCATTTAATCTTTTTTCATGTTGCAGCTTTAAGTTTGGTTGTCAAACACATTCGAAGTGATGGACGACAATTGTAAATTTAATCTATGCTGTTTGATTTTTTTTTTTTTTTTTTTAAGTGTGGAGGGGTAGTGTAGCCTAAATTTAGCACACTCTTATCCCCTAACTTCCCTTGAGAAAATAAAAGCAAAACCTTTTGCTGTGGTGACTGCTACAAGTTCTTTAGAAAAAAGACTATAAGTACTTTGAACATCTATGAGATTAAGTTGTTCTCCTTTCCTTTATTGCAAAATACATTAGCTTTACTTCAAAGGGATTGCATTTATTAAGAGCATTTTTTAAGGCTTTAGGTCTATGCTTTGACTTGACCATTCTTTTTTTTTTTTTTTTCAACAGTGTCCTGTCTGGCAATGTGGCAATAAGAATAATTGTCTTGATGACAAAAAGAGCCCAACAGATTTTACTTTAACAAGTGTAGCAGTATGGCAATTGCCATATTGCTACACTTGTTTCATGCATATAATTTGCTTTATTATATTTATGCAAGGAGTTTTACAGTTTATATGGACACGCCTGACTTGACCATTCTAACACATAAGTATACTCTGCTCTAACTATGCCATCGTATTAGAGTACTTCCAAGTTTCCCTCCAGGATTTAACTTTAATTAACTCAGTCCACTCTGGTTTTTCCATCTCCCTGTAGACGAAAAGTATGGACCGCATACATTAAAGTGGAGGTTTTATTTATTTTTATTTTTTTTACTATATAACATTTTAAAATTCCTGTAAGAAAAAGTCCAATTTCAAGCAGAGAGCCCCTTTTTACCCACATCCTTTGTGTCAGCTACATCTCTATAATAAAATCCGACTTGGATTTATGTATTGATGCCTTTATTCTTGCTAAATGTCCCGAAAACACCTTAGGTTCTTACAATTAACATGCTTACTTCTTTCATTTAAATTTTGCTTATCCACCCTGCCAGTTTAGTTGCATTAAATAGGCTTTATAACTAATTTAAAGCTTAAAATATTAATCTATAATCAAATACTCCTTTAGATTATCTCCTGATCTGTTTTCCTTGGTTTTCATCACAATGTTCTTTAAAGTTCTTTAACAACTGAATTGATATTGCAAGAATTTAGATGTTATTGAACTTAATGTATAAAACAGGTGGCCTCTGAAGGTGGTCAGTTGCATTGGATTTTATTTATCAGTTTCTACTGGAAGAGGAATGAATACATATGACTGCCACACTTTTCAAAATGAAATTAGCAAAATTATTAAAATCTATGTACCCTTCTTCCTTCTTTGTGTTTTAAAACATACAATTCCACCATTACAATACTTTGTAATTTGCAATATTTTTGCAGCGTAATATAAATGAATTTAAAATCTAAAAGTATATAAACCAACTAAAGCTAACTAGATCACCTGTTTTTATTAGAGACTAAATGTAAGTTGGAAAAAACACACGAAAGGTGCCTAACTCATTTCAATCTCAAACCTTTTCGCAGATTTTTTCAAGGAAATATTTTAGGTAAAACAAAGTTTTCTGGATTGAGCTGTCCTCATCAAAATATAACATATAGAGTAGGACTGGAGGGATAATAAAATCTCCTACATGTGCTTTATATCAATAAATACAATCTCACTCCTTAAGGAAGTTATATAAATGAGGGAACACATTTATATTTTCTGCCAAGTGTAATGCCTTTAAGCGGCACAAATGGGCTGCAGTGTTATTTTACATACAGACAACAAAGGGTGCTCTTAGCCAGTGAAATGTAAAGAAAAAAAGAGTGATGGGGCAGAGGAAGACATTAAAAGGAGGAGGAAAGCTTTTTTACCTTTTATCAAAGTGAAAAAATGGCATGGTGTCAGTTATGAGAACTGAAGAGAACATGTAGTGGGGATGATATGAAAGAAGGAGAAAGAGTCACTTACAGTGTGTCCTTAAGGAATGGAGAGGAAGTTTCAGTATGTTCTCCTCCAAGGGGAGTGTTATCCGTTTGCTAAAGCCGGCATTGCCAAAGCTAAACGCACCCCCACACAGAGAAGGTGGGATGAGGGTGTGTGTGAGAGTGGACTGACGAGAAGGTGGTTATGGATCTGGCTTTAATACATCTGTGTGTGTGAAGTGGCAGGAACCAAAAGCTACTGAGAGGGAGAGAGACAATCAGCAAAAAAAAAATAAAAAAGACGCAGAGCTCGAACAAGCTGAGTGGCTGGTGTGAAAAGGGAGGGTGCTCAACAGTCCAATAGTGTGACAGATGAGCTGAGCGAAGAGGAGATAGCAACAAAGAGACAGATTTTTTTCTTTTCAATTTCTGATCACACTCCATAGTCTGACTGCTTTCTCTGTTTTTGGAATAGGTTTGGAGAGGGGGAAAAAACAAACAACCTAAAGCATTCAACAGAAGCTTGGAAATGATTCATGAGGCATGTCTTAACCTAAAATTTATTTCTCTCACTCACAGATTGGGGGGAAGGCAGGAAGCCCGATAGGCAAAACATTTGAGATAAATCATTTAACCCTGCTGGGGAATTTAATAACATATTGCTGACAAATAGAGCCCAGCTCTGTTTGCTAAGCTGCTTTTAGAATAAATGCTCACAGAAAATAACAGGAAAATAAGATAAAAAGGGAGAGCTTTTTTGTCCTTTTACATTTTTATAAACCTTATGTCAGAGATTATTAGTGATAAAGTAAACAGAAACTGCATGGACAGCTGAGACATGTGCAGTGCCCTGCCTCCCCTGAGTGAGTGTATGAGACGCCTGTGTGCATAAGCAGGGATGGGGGCGGGGGAGCAGACCGTCTTTATCGAGATTTTACTGCGGGAGCGCCATGTTGCCATGGAGACTGCATCCAGTGCAGCAGAAAAGCGCAGATGGTCCCCTTCCCTTTATTTCCTGAAACCGTCCAGGTTGCTTCTCATCCCTGACCTGCAACTCATACAATAAATAAATGGATAAAAAGCTTGTCATTTTGACTTTGTGGAGAGTGGAAGGGAAAAAATGCTCTGGGTGTGGACCAGGCTATGACTCACACCACTGACAAACTGCCTAAGGTAGAAGTGAAAAGGTCTTTTTGTTGAATTTTTGCAGAAATATTAAATCACTGAGCATCATCTTACATAAATACATAAATTATTATGTCATTATCACTCTAAATTTGTTAGAATATACTGTATATGATATTAGAGTGAAATCAGCTGCAGTACCGGCTGAATGCAATCATAGCTCTTTGGAGAGTACCAGGTCTGCATGTGTACTGATACGGACACCATGTTGAGACTGGAGAAAATTATCAATATCTCCATTCTGACTTGTAGACGCTCGTTACACTTCATGTTAAACCTGTTTATAGATCAAGCTTTCTCATGTTTTTACAAACCCATTTGAATTTTATGTAACAGGCCAACCTTAATCGATTAAAGATTATATTCAGTTTTACCCTTAAAAAAAAAGAAAGTCCAAAAATCCCTTTTGGCTATATTCAGCTTCAAATGAGTTCTATTATATTTTATGTCTTATAACTGAGGCTTCTTTGTATTTTTAAAGGCTAAACCAATGTAAAGTATGTGATAAAGTTAAGACACAATATCTCATAAGTTAGAGTAAAATGTTTAGAACTTTATTTTAATGAAATATGTTTATTATTAAATGATCTATACATGTATTTTGACTTTTTTTTAAACAACAAAAAAGCATATGCTCATGTTAAAATAAAGCAAAAACATTTGGCCTGATAGTGTTTACCTAATCCTTTCGGAGCCTGAAAAGAAGTTTTGCACCGGGCGCCATAAGCAGGCATTCATACTGTTGCATTCTGATGCCATCTACTGGTAGTGCTGTACTAATTCACGCAGTGATCAACTTGTTAGCTTTAGCAGCTTTAGCTCTCAGCTTTCAGGAAGAAAAACTCCTTACATTTAGTCTCTAATAAGGAAATGCACCTTCTCAAACAGTTAGAGGAAAAAACAACACGATTGACAGGGAGTCTGACCGAGTTTTATTTTAGGCTGGGAGGAGCTGTAAATATATTCTGTAAAGCCAATTCATATTACTGAGAGGCATATAATGGTGACAAGATATATCGATGACTGTGTCGCATTTCTACTTCTATTCTAGTGTCTCTCAAATTGAAACAAAATCCCGTATTTGACTGGGACAAATTCTAAAAAGGTCATAATAAATATTGAACAGGCCTTATTTCTAAATATATAAAAAACAGAGCTGCTGTCACTGTCACAGAGCCACCTCCTTCTCTCTCTACCTTCAGGCCGGGCAGCAATGCATGAAACACAATAACATCATATACCCATGTTATCATCTAAAAACATTGTACAAAAAAAAATGTATTTCATGCACGTCATATATATTTTGTTGCAGCAAATTATTTTATGCACACAAAGAAGTACTTCTTGGCAACAAATTTGTAATTTGTCAGTAAAAATGTGTATTTCCAGGGAACAAATCAAGATTTTTTTGCTCACATTATATATGTCTTTTATTACGCTTATGCTTCTCAGCTTCTTACTCTTCCCCTGCTTGTTCTCGCCACCTGTCACAGATGTGGAGGAAAGTGACACCACCATGCGGTAATACCAGGGGCCATTCTGCCCGCTTTAACAGCTAAATCAATGGGAGCTACTAAACACCCCTGCAATCAACAACAATTGAGAGGACTTCACAATTGAAATTCGCACGAGCTATACTGAGAATACCCATGTGCATGGAAGTTGGATGTTGTAATACATCGAGTAAATATAAAAAAAAAAAAAATTGTTATTTCATCTTTCCGATTCATGATCCACCACAAACGGATTCGTAGTTGGATTGCCAACTTGAAGAGGAAGGATTTGCCATCGAATTTCTGGCCAGAGAAAAAAAGGTAATATGTAGCCAACATTTCAAAGAAGAATGTTTTCAAGAATACTTGGATAATAGCGCATGGTGACAAACACCAGATACAGAACTGGGACTTGCTCAACAGCCGATACCGCACCGTGACGTCACTAACCAGTAGGTGGCAGTAATGTTCTTTGACAAACATTGATGTCTCCAGTAAAGCACATTCAAATGAAATTACTCTTAATCAAAACACTCATCATTTATTGAACAATATGCAACACTTCCATATTGAAAGTACTTTCAGAAGTTTGAATTCTAAAAAAAGAACAGTTTAAAGAGAGGACATATTATTTACATTTCACCATATTCTATATACACACAGCAAAAATGTGTAACAATGTGTTTTGGTCAGATGAGATCAACAAATATATATAATTGTGGGATACAAACAAAACATAGACAAACGTTATTTTTGATCTGCATTTCTTGAAATTGTACCAGCTGTGTAGCAGTATCATAGCCTCTAAAAAACACCAACAGCAGCACTGACTGATTTTCTAAATGAATACTGTTCAAAAAATATCTGCAAAATATAATGCAGTTAAAGGTTTTCAACTTAGACTAAATGCTGGTACAAGTCACAGAAGAGAATCTAGTGTATGATGAACAATGAACATCCTACCTCTCTGATTATATTGGAGTTTGTCACATTTAAATTAGAATGTTTTTTACAAGCTGCAGCTGTGACGTCACGTCACTGCTCTTAGCAAATCATTTTTAAAAGTGATGTCAACATTAAGAATAAATCTGAAAATATATATATTAGTATCTGAAGGCCGGAGAAATAAAACTAGTTGTTTCCACCAATCAACAGGTCATAATAAAAACTCCTTACCGGTCCATTTTGCTCTAGTCGATGAAAGCTGTCAGATTATAAATGCATTCTTGTTCTTTCTCTAAAAGGGAGAGAAACATAAAGAATCATTAGAAATACTTTACTTGTTTTGAAATTATACAAGTAAAAAAATTTATAAAATAATCTGACGTTAGATTTTGTAGAATCAACAGAAAACCAAGATATACTTCCCAAAAAGTTAAAAAACAAGATTCACTTAAATGAAAGGGCGCCATCTTGTGTCTGAATCTTGGAAGTAACCATGAACAATCCTTTCATATTTAAATTAGTCTGAAGGTATATCTGTCTTTATTTATAACATTTGTAATCTTGTGACATAAAATATCGTGGTCAGAAACAAAAAGGAAAAAAACACCATATACAAAAGCAGAAAGCATTGCGGCTATTGTCTTTATATCTATTCTGGCGCTTTGTGTGACGTATGACCTCGTGGCGCAACGGTAGCGCGTCTGACTCCAGATCAGAAGGTTGCGTGTTCAAATCACGTCGGGGTCAATCTATTATTTCACCTTCTTTTAAGCATTTAGATTTTTTAATTCAAGAATTGGCCTTATCACACTTTAATGACCCGTCACAAAACCTAAGAATGTAAAATAACCCCAATAAAATACTTTTTATTCAAGAAATGTTATATTATAGCTCTGACAGACAATCATTGGGAACTAATCATTGGAAACTCTATTAAATGCCATGGAGTAAAAGGTCCTGGCTAAACTTTACTTTTTACAGAATGCTGTATCGAAGTGTTTATATGAAGTATAAACAATGCAAAAAGACTGGAAATTTATAACAAGAACTGAACTTGTAGCCACTATGTCAAGAGATAAAACACATATTTTCTCCCAAGGGTTAAAGGTCAAAGTGTCTGACAAGCCACTCATGAAGCACAGGAAAGGTCATAAGTGTCTGAGCTGAGGGGAATAACGACTGGATTGTCCCTTTTTTTTTTTAAATCATTAAGGTGATCTATCCTTATTAAAATCTGAAGTCTTTGCAGCCCTCTACCAGGACATTTAGGAGCATTTGATACTCTCTTTTGCCATACTGACAAAGTTTTGAGTCTATGTATAGAATCTGATAAAATCAGTGACCAAGATCTTACATAAATCAAATTTGTAATTAGATTTAATTTAATTCTATTATCCTATGCCTCTTTTTAATTTAAAATATCATATTCATTGACACACTGATCACTTTCATCTATCTCTCTAAGATAAATTTAACATTTCTTTGTGTCTTAATGAGGTCTAAACAAATTATAGAGCATAGCAACTAGATTTCCTGTGCACTTTCTTCCGTTTAAAAATCAAACAGCAACCCATGTAAACAGTTACATACCCCAGGTGTTAATGGTGGATACGGTTACACAACAGCAACCACAGACACTA